TTATGAAATTATCCTTATTATTTGTGACGTGTAAGGTCGCGCCATTGTCGACATACCAAAATTCTTCGTTCCTTGACTGTAAGGTACAAGCCAACAAGGTGACGTTTTGAACTTGACCTGATTTATTGGATTTCGGTGGTCTTCCATCCTTAATCCACTTATGGCAGGTTTTAACTCCATGTCCTTTTTCTTTGCAGTAATTGCATTTCCACTGTTTCTTTTTTGTTTTCGAGTTGTTGTTTGAATTGTTGACAGTGAGTGTTTTTTCTTGGTCTTCAGAAGGTGTCTTCAAACGCACAAAGTGTCTCAGTAAGTGTCTGAATCGTTTTCTGCTTTGCACTTTATAGTAGCCAACTTGACTTAAAGGCTGAGTATCTGTCATCAAGAGAATCAGTAATTTTAATCATTAATAAAATCTCAGGAAGATTCTCTTTCAATTGTAGATTTATCTCATTCCAAATGTTTTTCAATTTCGACATATGGGTTGCCATGTCATCCTCTGGTTGGTATTAGTAGTTAAAGAATTTCTGACACGCGCTGTATGCTGTCTTCAGAATTACCTGAGTAAAGTCTGTGCAGTTCTTACCATACATCATTGACTTTGTTGAAGCGCATTACCTTCTCTATAATGGCATTACTTAAATCAGTTATGAAAATTATCATGACAGTGCTATGTAACTTCTTATCTGCTACGGCTTTGTTATGAGAAGCCTTTTCAGCATCACCTGCGCCTTCTGGAATTATTGGAAAATGGGTATTACCTTCCACAATATCAAGCATCCCTGGTATACCATCAAGCACTTGGATAACTTTATATTTCCACATTGCCCAATCTGCCTTTCCTTGAAGGTTGCCGACCTTTACTTGTGTAAAATCCATTATTGGGCTGACTTTTCCACCGTGCTGGCTCAATCACCTATTATAAACAGCTGTATCTTGTATCGAAGTAGTCTAACAGAGTATGCAGTGGCACCAACAGACACTTGAATTATTAACACGTTTTATTTACTTTAAAAGATATTTCAAACACAACACTTAATATTTTTATATTCACTAAAAGAAAAAACGAAAGCTTATGACATCTTATCATAAAAATATACGATTGTTAGAGGCTAATCAGACAGAACTCTTTGCGGTTGATATTTAACCTCTAACACTTACACATGTGCCAAAATAACTTTCGTAAATGATTTTAGTTTCATGACACTACTTTCGTAATGTACGATCAAGTCTTAAGAAGTACAAGCAAGACCCAGCGCTAGTGATGCGACTCTAGTAGGATTTTGTGATTCGAGTTACTCAAGCCAATTAACCTCACTCAAATCATACTAGAATTTTCGAGTGACTCCAGTAAAAATTTTCAAACACCCTAGTCAAAACACTGGATCTTGGCGCTCTAGTCAAAACACTGGGTCTTGGCGCGCTAATCAAAACACTGGAACGAAGCCCATTAAACACTCACACCAAAATAAAAAGATAGATAGATGAACTCTTTATTGCTCACACACAAATTAAAGTTTACAGGAAATTTCTTAGTTCTAGTGGGCAAAGGCGGTCTTATCGCTAAAAGCGATCTCTTCCAGACAACCCTTGTGTTAAAGGACACCTGTCCGAAGGATGTGGTAGTGTGCTAACATTTACAAAAAAATAAAATAAAATAATAATATCCTAATACATATATATTACTGTAATATATAATACATACTTTATGTAGGCACACCTTTTAAGGAGTGTAATTTTACCAATGACAAAAGAATCTTCTTAAGTACTTCTGGGTCTGAAAAAAATTGTATTTTTTGAATACCACAGACATGTATTTATATTCAAATAACAAAAAGTCGATTTTTTAAGGTGATGCATTCAAATAATTAGAGCATACATAATCCGCTTACTATGCCATACCATGCCGCCAACCTAATACGCTAAGCAGTTTCCTAGCTTGTCCATATGACCGGCCGGCCTTGGCAGGACGCCTAAAGAAATGGCTTTTAAATAAAAATAATCTTATCGCAAGATCGGAGTACCTTTTCACCAATTATCTTATCACATCCATAATTAAATTGTTAGATCATATGTAATCAGAAATATGAACGTAATACGGTAATTAAAGATACCAAATCATTTATTGTTTGCGACACTCCTTTGCTGTTAACAAGTATCTGAAAGTTTTAAACAACATGAAGGTTTCATTGATAATTTGTGGTATTATAGCTATAGTTTGCTTGCAATGCGAGGCAAAGAAGTTAACAAGATGCCAGCTGGTCCACGAGTTGAGAAAACAGAAATTTCCAGAAGATAAACTAAGAGATTGTGAGTATTATCGATGTGCTCATTTCCTGGATTTAAAAATACTATGGCATATAGTGTTTATTAATTCTTAGCTGAAATTCATCTCATATTCTATTAAATAAAACAGCAAATACTTAAACATAAAAATCCAAGTACAGTCAACAGCAGGTCAGGTTATAAAAATAAATAAATAAAAAATAGCCTTTATTCACTAATTGGTTACAAATTCTCTTATAGGTAGATAACTCTTGTAGAGCAAATAAGCTTGATGAACGGACAAACAAACGGACATTAATCATTCACTCTTTTTTCCTGTTAAGCTCCTAAAATCAATACAAACACCCTTAACTACAGGGGTTTGTCTAGTGGAAAGTGAGAGCTCCCGTCGCACACACGTCATCAGTCCCCCAAACAGCAACGGATCCCGCGACCACGGCCTGTTCCAGATTTACGACGGCTATTGGTGCAACTACTCAGACGTTCCGGGTAAAGACTGTTACACCACTTGTGCAGGTAAACCAACTATCTTTTACTATCATATAGCATGGTCACCGTACAAAGAGAAATTCGTACAATGACCCGGCATTAGATATCTCGATCACTTGTTGCAAACATATTGCAACTGCGCTCGCGCAGATGCATCTAGTCAATTTTGCCATAGTAATGTAAACCTAAAATGTTTTGGATATCGATCAATAGGTACTAAGGTGAACGTACGAAATTATTTCTGTTCGGCGAAAGCTTTTTTCTGTAAAATACTGACAGTAGAGTATCTACAGTAATAAATACGTGTTAGAGCTGTAGTAATTTCTGAAAATCATTGTTTAATTTAAATTGCGTGTTGCATACGTAAGTAAGCGATAGATGTAAATCTAGAATCCTTAGTCTATATCTATAAGTATTATGTTATGAATAACTTTCATGGTCATTATCATCAAAAAGATTGCTAGAAACGGGATTGCTACCATGTACATTATATTTTAAGAGTTTCCGATATTTCGACGCTATTTATCGGCGAACATATCGGAAACTCATAAAATATAAGGTAGATACGTACCTACATATTAGCATAATAATTTTGTAGGTCGAAATTAAACATAAAAACAGACTCCCGCCGCAAATGTGGCTCATCGATATCTTAGTAAATCTTTCGAAATGCCGCAAACTCTGATCTATTGGATATTTAAATAGCGCGCCATCGGACGATTCGCGTGCCTGATCCCCGTTGAGTATGATCGATACGGAAAACTAGTGCGTTATCTTTTATTTACACACTAGCTGTTTTCCTGCGACTGCTTCCGCTTAGATTAAAGCTTACGTCTACCGTTGAACTTAGGCTTCCCACAATACGCTACATTTTCCCTGTTTTGAGCTAATCTAGTCCAAATTTTCATCCGCGACCTTTCTTAAATCATCACTCCACCTTGCTAGAGAACATTCCACCTCTAGCAAGATGGAGTATGCATTCTAGAACTCGCTCACCAAAACTGCTGTAGCAGTTATTATCTGTGCGACACATGGCCATATATATATGTTTGATGGTTTGTTTTTCCAGAGTTAAGAACCGACGACATCACAAAGGCCTCTAATTGTGCGAAGAAGATCTACAAACGTCACGGCTTCGACGCTTGGCATGGCTGGATAATAAAATGCAAAGGAAAGAACCTGCCCGTCATCAGGCATTGTTGATATTAGTTCTACTGTGGTTCTACTAATAAAATATAGACCCCGCGGGACTGCTTGACCCGCAAATCCATTTTTAAATACACATAGTAAAAGGACAGGACTCTACAAATCTAAAGAGTGAAAATAGGGAAATATTAACTTAACATTTATTAACTTATACATTTCTAAGAGGAATGCCGATTAGTCTGGAGACCGAAAGGGGCTTTGTAACTGCTACTTTGACTCTAAAACAGGCAGTAGCTTGTCAGACGACAATTCGTTTATTTTTTTAGGTTCAGTACATAGATAAAATTCAAAACGTTGGATTTTGTTACAAGTATACTTATTCTTAATAGAAAATGCTTAAAAAATCCACTTGGTCCTTGGCACCTTGAGATGGTTTTAAGAATTTTGTATTAAGAATATTTTAAGTATAGCATTGTCAATACGAAATTGATAACAAGTATACTTAAATCCTTTTTCTAATCTTAATAGTGCAATTTGATAAATATCATGCTAATAATAAAACTTGAAGTGAAGTCGCATTAATTAATTCAATGTTTTGCTTAGGTGCACCTATAAGAATAGAATTAATTACTATATTTGATTAATTTCGCACTCACATTGCTATATCTGAGAAATATTATCAAGCCAGGAACCAAGTGATTTTTAAGCATTTTATGCTTAAAAATCACTTGGTTCCTGGCACCCTTAAATGGGATTCGAACCCATGACTACGCAATTCGGGCCCGGATTATCACAGGATGCCAGGCACCAAGTGGATTTTTAAGCATTTTTCATTGAGGATTAATTTCTTTATATAAATAACACCCTGTAGTTTACTACCTTTAACAGACGTTATAAAACACTGTCGGTAACTTGGTAGTCTGTTTTCAATAAATAAACAAAAATAGTTTATGTACATACATTTCAAATACTTTATTTATTAGTTTCATAGACTTCCACAAATATCCATATTACATTTACATATAGTATGAAAAATATGTCGCTCACTAATATATTTAACTCAAGATATAAAATAAAAATCACAAGTTTCGATTTCTTAATTTATCTTCTATCCTTTTTTCGGCTTCCATCGCCTTCTTCAGTAAAGCATCTTCCACTGTTTTCAGCTGTTAAACATAAATTGTAAAGATCAAAATCATTATGTTAATTATTATAATTAAAGTTGGTTTTAGTACATATTCTGTATGATAGTAGGACTTAATTAAATATGTACATAAATAGTTCGCCTCGAAGACTTTAATTATTCTAGGAAACTCGGAACAGTACAATAACTAATATTTAATTTTGTTTTGATGCAGCCCATTCAAAATATCTATTTTTTTAATTCTTATTTTTAATCTTACCTCATTAGTGAAGTCGTTTTGTATCTTAGCTAACTCTTCCATACCCATGTTCTTTTCTTGTTCATACTTAGTGGTTATTTGTTTAATTTCCTCTGTTCGTTGAATGGCTTTCTTACATCGATCCTGGCATTTTTTATCCTTGTCTTCAGCATCTTTCAAAGCACTGTAGAAAAAAATAAAATCCCTTAATGAAATTTAAACCTTTATTGCCAAATATTTGTTATGTTTCCAGAAATCAATTCTTTATAATTAGAAAAAAGAACAAAATAAAAATAGTGGTTTTAAACATTATTTTACTAATTTATGCAACTGATGAAATTATAATGCAAAAATCTTCTTACTAATATAAGACTTTGGGCACATTGTCTGGTAAATAAACGAGAGAGATATAAGTAAATAAGTACACAAGTTCTGTTAGCAATCTAGTGGGTAATATACATTATAAACTTTAACATTAACATATTTATAAACCAATTAAAATTATCCACAGTAATAAAAATTCAAATGTACCAAAAAAAAAAAATTACACAAATCGGTTCTGAAATAGGTACTAAACAAAAAAAGAAAAAGCTCAATAATTACGTTTGTGCAGAAGTGAGTTCATGTACCCTACGATCGTGAGCGTCTTGTCGTTTGACGCGTGCAGCGGACTTAGCCGTCTGAATCTCAGCCAGCTGCGCTTCTAATTCTGACATCTCCGTGTTAAGAACACCCAACTGGCCCTCTTTGCTGTCCGAATCTAAATCTCCTGACTCACAATCTCTGATAACAAACAAAAATACTAGAGATGAATTTTGAGAATAAAGTTGTTAATGTTTTACCATTATTTAAATTATATAGTATTTAAGGATTCATCATTAATTCTGTGCACAGGATGATCTTGTAGATCACCTAGGTAGAAAAGTCAACACATCATGCAGTAGGTATTCAGATTATATTTGCCAAACGATACCCTGATTATTACAAAATAGCTCATGAAATGTATCCCAGGAACACTAGAAATAAAAATAGGCTAGTTCTTGACATAGTCCCAAAAAGTGCGCGATTTAAAAATACTGTATGTGTCAAACAATATTCAATAAGATTCCGGAATCTATAAAGAATACACCTTTTACTAGATTTAAGAGAGGGTTATATAACTGGCTTGCTGAGCGTTCCTTTTATTCGTTGCATGAATTCTTAGACTATAGAAACTGAATGTTAGCCTGGGTGGATTAATCAGTGCTTATAGTATCTTCTTTTACTACATTTGCATGCTATTGTCAATGGCTGAATAGGTGATAATTGTATTACCTTTTACATCTCTTTTGTATACCCTATTCAAACGCAAATAAATTATTATTATTATTATCGTATTTAGAAACTGGCATCAAGAAAGCAAATTAAGCAATACCTGCCCTCAAAAACACTGATGCCAGTTTCACTAAGCTTGGAAATCTCCCAATCTCATCCCATCTGACATATTATTAAAGAATGCCTAAAGACTAAAAGTATGACATGCATTATGCGGCACAATCAGCTAGACATTTGCTAATGTATCAGATATCATATATGTGTCAAAAGATAAAAAACAATTAGTTAACATTGGAAATTTCTAATCTTACGTGAGAAAAAACATGAGAAAGAGCTTTTAACCGAGCTTTTCCTCTATCAACCTATATTACAGAGCAGGAGCCAGATTAGTGATATAACATAAACTGCTATCATACTTAAATAAATTTTTTTGGATTCAGTTAAAATAATAGATAATACTACATGAACAAAACTCTACAGACATGATTACTCACTTTAAACTTACAGACAATTTCATAATTTCCCTCAAAAGATTATAGGCAGTATCCAAACTGGGCTTAATTGTCTGTAAGTTCTTCAAGCTATTCTCTTTCTCCATGAGTAAAGCTCTGAGTGAATTCAACTTCTCCTCTGCTTCTTGTACATTTTGAGCAGCTTGCTCAGCCTGTGCCTTGATATCGCCTGCATCATAGACCCTTAACGCTTGCTTTCGTTCAACTTCAGCAATCAGAGCTTCTTTGAGTGCTTTCTTTTGTTCTAAAACTACTTCTAATTGATGGTTCTCCTTTAAGATTGGATCCAGTTCAAGCCTCTCCTCATCATGAGCATCTTTTTCTTGTTTCAGTTCTTCTTCCAACTGTTTCATCTCTTCATCCAACTACAAATTATGTTATTAAAAAGATATAAGCAATATTCAAATAATCATAAATCTCAGACATAATTAAAACATGGAGATTCAGTGTTAGTAGTTCATGTTGTTTTTTAACATAATAAAATCTCTTATAAAAACATAGATTATACTTTTACCTTCTCCAGTCTCTCTGCACGTTTTCCTTTCTCCTCAGCTTGCTCATTTAACATCTCTAAGAGTCTGTTTTTACGATCTTCCAATGCTTTCACCTAAAAATATATGGCAAATAATGCATTAATGTAAGCAGAGGTGAACCTAACTAATAATTGAAAACAATTTTCATAATTATATTGTAATTTGAGAAGGTAATTACTGATTACTATTATCATGATATAAGTAGTTACAAGGACTACTAAAAGAAAATAAGGACCTCATCAGTTTTGGCAAACAATTCCTCTTCATTAGGTGCAATTTCCCTCAGACGTTCTTCATTGAACACCATTAAATTAAACAGTAATAACAGTATAGAGTGTGATGTAGTGGTTGTCGGCTGAAGGAAGTGTGTGACACTGATAGTTGCATCAACTTGCGGCATCACCGACACAAGATGGTTAATGACCCGAGTCATGTTTACAACAGGAAGGAGATCCCAATAGTAAATTATGTGCTCATTACGAGCTTCCTCAGGTGGAGGCTGAAAATTTTAAAATACTGTTAGTAAATACTCTTTACCTTATTACTTGCCACAGCCAAAATTCAGATCAAAACAGTATTTGAACAATTTTTAATAAATTAACCAAATTGATTAGAAAATGCCACTCACAGACAACACTGCATCTCTATCAATTCCAAGGCGGTCGAATACTTGAAACAAAGCACCCATTAACGCATGCGGCTTCTTGAAGTCTGCAGCCGTAAGTGCATAATTAGTGAAATCTCCATTCCAATTCTCTATAAAGGTTTCCACTGTAAAAGCTTGAGCTGAAACAATAAAATAAAATAAACAATTTTTTTTCCAATCTTTCATATAATATTTCTTCTTCTTTTCTTCTTAGGTAGGTTAAAATATTTATTCTTCATAAAATACTATTTATTCTTATTTATTGTAATTTAAAATTGATTGTAATCTTACCTCGCTCCATTTTCTAAACACTCACTAGAACTGCGCAATCACCTAGACCTAGACCTTTAAATTAAATTTTTGTAATGTTTTACGATGTAGTTTGTGGTAATTGATTTCTTCTTCTTCTTTTAATAATAGCTTATCTGCGCATTTCGCACAATTCTGCCAATATCAAGTGAATAAATTAATTTCTAAATGAAAAATGTTTACTTTTTCTCCTTAATCACAACAACTTTTATAGCATGTATTATGTATTATCTATGTATAGCATGAAATGATTGAAATTCAAATTCAAAATAAACGACAACTAGGGATGCACAATATCGGAAAACTGATATAAATCGATATATATGAAAAATCGATATCAAATCTCAACTTGATAATGAAGCAAGATATCGAATATATTGATGTCCAAGGAATAATTTAAGAATCCGTCGTTGTACTTGAATTAGCTTATTATTTTCGAAGCCCCAGCTCCCACATGTTCACTCCAAAATAACAGTACTCACGTCCTTCACGCACACAAGAATTTCAAACCTAGCCTCGAAACTTTTGCCCTAAAATAAAATAAAATGTTACTAGCTGTTAATTTTTTTTCCAATTTTGAATTTGGAATCTTTACTTTTAGTTTATTTGCATCGCAAATTCATTTGTTTATATTTTCTCGTGATGAAGGAAAGGACGAAACAATGAGGAAGTATTTAAAAAAAAACATTAGTTTCCGAAATCAAACTAGATGTCGCTATGGTACATTCCTAATCATGACAACCTTTCTGGTATTCGTTGATATTTAAAAGTAAATTAGTTTTCAAAAGTCAGTAAGCAACTAATATTCTATTTGTACTTTTTCGTATTTGTTTTGATATCTAAGTTTCGAACTTTTCAAATTTCGGGTTTTTAGTTAGTTAAAAGGAACGGAAATGACTATCTTTGGTCCATTCGTTTTCTGCAAAAATCAACTTGTGCTTAAGTCGCCATCTAGTGGAGGTGATTTTTAGTGCTTTCGTATTTTTTTTAAATACTTCCCCATTACGTTCAACTGTCATTTATTATTAATCGCGGAAATCCGCGAGCTGAAAAGTTTTCCTGGAAGCCGTAACTTCGTCTATTACACATTACAGCGGTACAAAGATACAAATCCTCTGCAAGATCACTAAAGGTATAGTAGGCCACGTTCTGTGAGCAGGCCTTCAAACATTAAAATCATCTGAGAGCGACTTTTTATTCTTTATGAACTGAATTCGAGCTCAGGATCTGCCGAAATTCCCACCCAAACTTGGAGTCACTAAAGCGAACTCTTGCTCGAGAAGCAAAGTGAATTTAGCTAGAAAAGATTCGTGCCGCCATTGAGGTCAAATCGTCAAAGGGCCTGTATTAAAACAAGGGCGGTCTGTTTGAATAAAATATACTTACATTTTATTGTTGATTTATTATATATTTATTGGTTACTGACAATGTTAGAAGAATATAAGTTCATTATTAAAAAAGTTACGCAACTTTTATTTCGTCTCAAAACTTATAAACACACAAGGTATAACACTATTTAAACAAGTATGTATGATATAATTAAAGACGTGATACTTGCAATTGGACTCAGTGTATATGTTCCTTGTTGGGCGCTATATTGAATTTGTGTTGAGTTTTAACGCCAAGCGCAAGAGTTTGTTTTAACGGTCGTGCGAATAAGTGATTATTTGTAAGTTCTAGTAGACTTCTTCTTTTTTTAATTAATGGCTTATCTGCGCATTTCGCACAATTCTGCCAATGTCAAGTAAATAAATTAATTTTTACATGTAAAATGAGACGCCCGGCTTTAGAAAGAAAAGTGACATTTGTGACATTTCCTGTCATTTCATAAAAACGTCACCTGCCGCTGACGACTTGATTGAGCGAATTGCTTTCCTCAACAATTTACCAATAAGAATTTCTATTAAAAGTTTAATAATTTGTATTAATCCGCTTGGCTCAAATTTAATAAAATAAAATGAGGATTACTAATGTAAGACGGGGTAGGATCTATAGAATGGGAACAGCTTGTGCAATTCTGATATTATTGATATATGCTTTACATAAATGGTCTAATGAAAATATTCTGAACAATACGAATGAAGTGTTACTTCCTGAATCTGAAGTTGGGTATTATAAGTTCCATCGTGATGTATATCCCACTTTAAAATCAGGTAAGGTTATGTTTATTCTTAATTGTTCATACATAAAGTATACAAAGAGAGTACAGTTATTTGGCCTATTCAGTTTGCCGGCGTGTCTGCCTGCTCAGCTTTTATTTTCATACGTCATTTATCGCTTTATAAACTGAGCGATATCGTAAAAACTGAAATTGAATAAAATTTGTTTAGTTCAATTAGTACTGTATTGATGTTTTATTGTTATAAGCACTCTTTTAATTTTTTATGTAGGTTTTGGGTAATTTTTAGGAATTTATATTTATAAATGTCCAAATAAAATATTTTCATAAATCAAAAACAATATCCCAAAATATGGATGATTCCTAGAAGTATCCTGGAGACAAATTTGATGGCAAAAGCTAATCTGTCTATAGATAATCACTACTTTTAAGTTTTTCCCTACTTGTTTTCTTTGGAATCAGCCATATCTTTAATGAATAATTTGGAATGTTTTAAATAAAACAATTGTCGACTAATTTACTCTTGTTAAACATTAAATATTCTACAAAACTTTCCACATTAGACTACACACACCTGCGATAAACTAAAGTAATGTGCAATAAAGCACATTACTATGGTCTATCTATAGATATAAATCAATATTAAATGACCCTAAGATGTTTTCAATTTGATAAGATTTAACACATCTTTAAGTACATTAATGAAATGTAATTGATAACATTAATATTTTGTGCTTTATATGAATTTATAGATGTAGTGCTTCTTGTATGTTTGCGGAGGCTTGTTTTGATGATTTATCTCTTTTATAAAAGTGCTAAGAGTATCACGGAATATATAAGATTGTAAATAAAATAAAATAAATTTAATTCATTATGAAATCTGATTATCACTATATGTTGGTTATGATAAATTTTTATTAATACTATGGGTACTACCTAAAATAAATTTATTATATTATTATGAATGTTCCATTATTTATTTTTAAATTAATCCACATTTAAAAAATATTATTATAATCAGTCCTAGTCTCTATTCACAACTAATTTATATCAATTTTGTACCAATACTATAAAAATAAAATGAATAATCACTCTTCTGTTTTAAGTTTAAAAGTTGAGAATTCCTTATGTACCATTTGTTGCAGATCTTGGAAACTTTGAACCAAGAGATATAAAGATAGTCAGTGGTCCGGGTGAAGAGGGCAAACCTTACCACATGTCTCCAGACAGAGCTAATGACATATCAGAGTCCGAAAGTGAATATGGTATGAATATTGCAGCATCAAACGACATTGCCATGAACAGGTTAATAGGAAACATGATTTATAACTTATTAAATAATTGTTTAGGTCTTTCTTTAGTGTGAAAAGCCAATACTAAAATGCTTATACATCTAAAATACCTAGTTACGATTAACTAACAATAGCCATTTTTGATATATAGGAACTACAACTTATATTTCATAGTAATTTATTCTCATTATAAAATTGATATTAACCCTTAACCATATGAAACACTTTCATTTTTAAAACCTCTCAGCAGCATAATTTTTGAAATCCTCTCTTCTTTAACATAAGTTTGTGTTTGTTTATTAATGATATTTTACAATTTCCAGATCAATACCAGATACACGTCTAGACGAGTGCAAGTACTGGCACTACCCTGAGGATTTACCTAAAACATCTGTGATAATTGTATTTCATAATGAAGGTTTCACAGTGCTGATGAGAACAGTCCACACAGTCATAGACAGATCACCACCTAATATGCTTCATGAAGTTGTATTGGTAAGATATTTACAGTGCTATGACTTTTATCACCAGTGTTATGACTATAATCATCAGCTTTTTACGTCACCACTGCAGGGGCTCAAGCCTTCCTTATGGATTGGTTAAAGAGGATGGGCCCTCCACACTGGTTCAACCCGGATTGGATGGCATTAACGATTGCAAATTGCCGGAACAACGGCATAACGTGTTTTCCGAATCAATGAGAACTTGAAATAATAATAAAAAATTGGTCACCCATCCCGTTACTGACTTTGCTAAAGTTGCTTAACAACAACCATCGCGGGCCGCGGCGCTTATCCTTGGTATTCACCATTTGCTGTCAGGATATCCGGCTATCGCGTTTCTGGGTTATCTGTTTCATATCTAATAGACTGAGAGTTTGTGACAAAATGTTCAAGAGCATTCTTAAGCTTGATATTTTAGTATTTTAAAGTACATCACTCAGGACCCAATGTGGAATCAGGAGCTGGCAACAACCTTGTGGTGTAACGACACAAACTTCTATCGATTGTTGAATTATTGTTCCATTAAATTAAAGTTTGAGTATTTTTTTTATGAACTACTAATAATTTAGTGATTAATTAACTTTCAACCATTACGAAACATTTTCGGATTTCACTTACATCGAATTCTAAGAACTGCAGACTGCCGTATTACACGATTGTGCAGTTTATATTAAGAGTAACATTTTTGCTAATTTTAATCGTTTAAAATGCACCTTTATCTGTGTTACGATTTTAAATTGATGTTACACTATATGTACTATATAGTTTTATGCATTGAATATGCTCGGAAACTTCTGGAATGATTTCAAAAATTCTTTCACCTACAGAGAGTTTTATCATACTCGGGTGACGTAGGTTGTCATTTACGCGAAAAAAGTCGCGGGAAAACAACTTTAATTTCATACTAGCTGTTTTCCGGCGTACACGAAAATTATAGGCTATGTCAACCCTGTATGATGCTATAACATAGCCTTGATATAGCCACTTTTTTTACTGTAGGTGAAACAACATTTTAAAATCGGTACAGTAGTTTTGGAGCCTATTTGATTATTTAAATCCGTTCTCTTTTTAATATTAGTATAGAGTTTAAAACAAAATATCACTGTCATTATTGCAGCTCTATACAAATACTTAACACAATCAAGTAAAAACAAAAGATTCTCATTCAAATGTTGCATAACTATCCCACGCAATGTTGATTTTATCTGAAACAACTTTTATGTTTGATTATACTTCTAAGTAGCATCATATTCAAGATGTTTAAGTTTATAATGTCAATAATTCTTTATGATCGTTTTATCATTGTAAACTATATGCAGCGATGTCAAGCATGGGCAATATGGACCAGCGCCTACGAACTTGTACAATAAAGGGAGTCGCGCCCAAAGCCTAAATAATAGTAATAAATAATATTATTTCTGTCACAATAGTCTTAAAGCTACTTAATTAATTGTACGCAACGTCAGAGATCGAAACCTATTCCATGCGTGACAGAGACAGAGACCAGAAAACAATTTAAAAAAATAGTTTTTATTTTCCGATCGTCTTCCTTATTAATAATACATTGGCTTCGTTATAAATATATGTCCTTAATAGAAGGTTTTCATTTATGCATCAGCAGCCGCCGTTTGCTGGTCACTTTGTCCTCCCACATAGGACTCCTCGTTAGTTCGCCATTCCTCCCGATCCAGAATCCTTCTCAAACCCTTTGTCAGATCAACCTCCCATCTATTTGTTGGCCTTCCCTTTTCAAAAAGTGCGTTTTGCGCCGTTAGAGATCGTTGCAAAATGTACCCTATTTATATTAAAAGGTCTTACGCCACTCATAATTACTATAATTTCAATCGTATAACAATAAAATAAAAAAAAATACCGACCACAAAATTAAATACAGATTTCTTTAGGGGTCTTCACTTTAACATTCTACACTTCGACATTAAGTCAGTCATGAATAATTAAATATCTAGTAAAATAAATAATTTTTAATCAAGGAAACTAGTACACCGACCCAATCGCATAAGAAATCGAAACAAGAAAATACAATAAAATGTCGGTTTAATGGCATAGTTTAATATGTGCATAGTCTCGCTCAATATGCTTAGTAAGTACAAAGACGCAAAATTTATGTATAAATTCACAAGTTTCGCAGATCTCTCACTTTCGCAAGCGAATGTTTCGGTGTACGAACGGCGTCAAAAACGATAACATTATCGATTCAAAAGTACAATTTATTTCTCCTGTTGACCTAGTTGTGTTTCATACAGGTGGACGATTTCTCTGATAAAGAAAACTTGAAAGGCAATCTTGATAACTACATCAAACGGTTCAAGGGGAAAGTCAGACTAATAAGGAATGCTAATAGAGAAGGCTTGATTCGTACTAGATCTAGAGGCGCGCAGGAAGCCACCGGTGACGTCATCGTATTCTTGGACGCCCACTGCGAAGTGAACGTCAACTGGCTACCACCCCTACTGGCACCTATATACCGCGATTATAGAATCATGACTGTCCCAGTCATAGACGGCATAGACCATAGAACGTTCGAGTATAGACCTGTATATCAACACGGAATCAACTACAGAGGCATATTTGAATGGGGTATGCTGTACAAGGAAAACGAAGTCCCCGATAGGGAGGCGAACCGCCATAAACATAAATCTGAACCCTACAAAAGTCCGACGCACGCCGGAGGCTTGTTCGCCATAAACAGGAAGTATTTCCTTGAAATTGGCGCTTACGACCCTGGTCTTTTAGTGTGGGGCGGCGAGAACTTCGAGCTCAGTTTTAAGATCTGGCAATGCGGAGGCAGTATTGAATGGGTGCCTTGTTCCAGAGTAGGTCACGTGTACAGAGCGTTCATGCCTTACAGTTTCGGTAATTTAGCTAAAAACCGTAAAGGTTCATTGATTACAATTAACTATAAGAGAGTGATTGAAACTTGGTTCGATGAAGAGCACAAAGAATATTTCTACACGAGGGAGCCGATGGCCAGGTTTTTGGATATGGGCGACATTAGTGAACAGGTCGCTTTGAAAGAGAAACTCCAATGCAAAAGCTTCGGGTGGTACATGGAAAACGTTGCGTATGATGTGTATGATAAATTTCCAAAATTGCCAAAGAATGTCCACTGGGGAATGGTTAAAAATAAAGCTACTGGAGTCTGTCTAGACACAATGGGTAAAGCTGCACCAGCTTATATAGGTATGTCGGATACTTTTTTATATTTTTAATCTCTTTCAAAAATTCGTACTGCAATATACGTATTTTGAACAAGGTATAAAGTTAGCTAAAATTTTTAGTTCCCGTGTCACGCAATGTTCTCTCGTAAGGAGTTATTATGTATGAATATTGGACTATTAATTGTAATTAAGGCATTTTGTATAGGATGCGTTTTTACCTCTACTTTTTAAGTTTACTTACTACACGAATTAATACGACACCTGAAGGATCTCGATTTCTCCGAAAAACTTTATTTTCGTAATCGAATCGAAATAAACGCATTTTTTGATAATTTATGATGCATCGAAGGTGTGCCCTGACACTGCCTCGGAGGCATAAATAATCTTCACATATATGATTTTAACAAAATTATAAGGATTCGAAATTTTCCAAATTTTCGTTCAAGTATAAATAGAATGTCCTTAGGTGTCATGTTCATTCGTAAGTGATAGATGTAGTTTTGTGTCTTTTAAATAAAGAGTACACGAAAAGACAATTAAAAAATACTGCGGCGCGCCTAAAAACTCGAACTTTAGATATAACACAATACTGTCTACGCCACTCTTACGTCTTTTTTTTAAAAGTCTTCTTATCTTAAGTCTTTTAATAAAAAACCTAAACTCTATTAGGTACTTCCACATGCCACGGAGCAGGCAACAGCCAACTGTTCCGTCTAAATGAGGCGGGGCAGTTGGGTGTTGGTGAACGTTGCGTGGAGGCCGACACACAGAACGTGAAGCAGGCGATATGCAGGCTCGGCACCGTCGACGGACCTTGGAGGTAACTATTGAAAGACACGTTTTACTATTCAATTGACAAATTTGAAATCACCATACCCCGATTCCAATAGTTTTACATTAATGACAACCTGGAAGTATATTAGCGCGAAACTGATCAAACTTCAAAGTCAAAAGTGACAGTGACAGCTAACTGACAGATAGGGTAGCCAGTAATAGCCGATCTTTTACCACAAACACAATATATATAAAAATATTATTTCACATTGATGAGATTCCAAGATGAGTAGCTAATGCTCCCGTGTTCTGGAATATCTGGAACAACGAAGGTAACAACACCCGCGACCGAGATTTACCCGACTTGAAATCGAACCCGGAACCTTAGAGATAGCGGCACCTTGAAACCGGTGTGCGAACCACTCGGCTGCAAAGTTCGATAAAATATGTCGAGAAACAACTCACTCGGCACATAGCGGTAGCAAGATCCGGTCTAGGAGAGATACCGGGGAAATTGAAGTAGGCTGTAATAGATGGGTACTTCAAAGTTATAAGAATTATCTTAAAATGTTAATAGTGTCTTATTTTTCCTTGTCTTGTGGCAATCAGTCCTCTGCTTCCCTACAAGGGATCGGGCATGAAGATATAAAGTATAGATTGATGGATCTTATACGTAGGTTACTGGCTAATAAAGAGTTCAAATTTAATACAGGGTTATTTACCTTACCACAAAAAAATATATAAATACCACACACATTTGGAATTGTGTTACCGATTTCAAAATCAAAAACGAGGAGGTCCAATTTATTTATATGTCCTTTTCCTTCCTTCCTGACAAAAAATTGAGGTCTACGTACAACCGCCCAGTGTCTTCGGTTTGCCGCCCTTCAGCCGAATTCTGCTAATGTTTGTGATAATAGCATCTCAATATAAAAATTCAACTACTTACATTTTGCCATTGTATTATCTATAAGTTCAATCTTCTTCTATCTATCTATATATGAATCAAAGTTGACTGACTGACATAGCGATCTATCAACGCACAGCCCAAACCACTGCAAGGATCGTGCTGAAATTTGGCATGCAGGTAGATTTTATGACGTAGGCATCCGCTAAGAAAGGATTTTGATCAATAGGGATGATGACTATTTTTTGTTTGTTTGTCCGTCAGGTAGAGTGTTAAAAAATATTAAACACGTATTTTTTTATTTTTTTCGTAATCATCAAATTACGGCGTTACATTGAGTTGAAATTTCGCATGACGTCACGTTAGGGTACGTTTTCTACTCAACTGTGACGTAGCGAGCCCCCACTCCTCAACTTTAATGCCTGTTATCTAAGCTATTTCTTGTTAAATTGAAGTAAAAATAAATACGTATCTAATATTTTTCTGTTATCTGACTGACGGACTAAATAGAATTGCATTTTTTTTACCCAGTCATCATCGCTATTCTACCCCCAAGGGGATAAAATAAGGGATAAAAGTTTGTATGAAACTTTGTCAATATTAAACCGAGCGGGCTGAGACTCTGCATACATAAAGCTACTATGACTTAGGCACACGTAATAAAGAATTTTGATCAATTCTACCCCCAAGGCGATAAAATGGGAGATGAAACTTTATTTCAGGTATTTCACACGATATAATGAATAAATATTCGTTAGAAATGCTACTCAAAGTAACTTCACCACGCGGACGAAGTCGCGGGCAAAAGCTAGTATTATCATATATCTGTTACCATTGATTTGTGAGGAAGACATTGCACTATAAATATTGGACTTTAGATAAATAGTACAATGGTAAAATATACAATTGCTAGACTGGACTCCCCTTAGTTCAGCAATGGGTTTTTAGACTGTGATTTTTTTATAGGTACGAAGAAGACAGCCATCAGCTAATACACCGGTTGCACGGCTTCTGCCTTACACTTCAGCCACATTCCCGAACACTTGGTCTTGCCCCTTGCGATCCAAATAACACATACCAACAATGGACTATATCACACAAGAAACCTCAGTGGTGAGCCCAGGCCTTAACTATTTGTCCATAGACAACGTGACGATGCTAGTTTGATAACTTTTTAACAGTTTATCTTGTTATTCCTGAGGATTTAAAAAAAATAAAGGAAGATTTTGTAGTGCATTTTAGTAAACAGCGCATCAGGTTATAAGACATTGTCGAACTTCTCTCAGTTTATTCAATTTTATTGTAATTGAAATTCTTGTAATTGAAATTCAATTATAGAATTTATAATTCTGTGCTAACCTGATGTATAGCCGCGTATAGAAAAAATATATATCTTTATACAAAAAAAAAAGCAAAATGTTTTAACTAGTGAATCTGACAAAATTTAGCACATGTTATTAAATTACTATGCAGATATTTAATATGAATATGAATTAAAATGGTCTAGAGTTGGCACATCGTATTTTAAGATTGAATTCAGATTGTTTTGAATGTGCCATTGTTATCTTACATAAATATTAGATTGTTATACAAGGGGCTAAAATGATCCATTATATTTGTGTATCACTCTACCTTTCACTTCGAGGGATTACATAAATAAATTAGGATCACCAATTCAACGAAATTTAAAAAGAAATCCTAAACTTTCTCGCTAATGCTTCTTTTCTTTGGTTAGGACACATTTCCCAGTCACCAGGGTTGAAATGTCCACTTGGATATTAAAAAAAAAGATAGCGCGATTTAATAAAGAACAACCCCATCTATCGGTTTTAGTAATTACTATTAGTTTCAATAGTAATGTGAACACAACCAAAAAGAATTTAATGGCACATATTCTGTGGAATCGCCAAGGTTTAGTCATTTAAGCTCATTGATGACAGATTCAAATTAAAAACAAACTTTTTATCCTATGAAAATAAAATGCTACTTTAGCTTCGCTTTTAGTACTCTATCATGACAGGCTTTTTGAGCGTAAGGGATGAAAATTAAATTTATATAAAGTTGTTGATTTAGAAGCTTCCCCATGTTTGCCTGTCAACATTATAAAGATTAAGTTATTATGTGTATTAATTTGATTTACATATTTTGTTTACATTCGTTTATGGGCCGTCAATATCTTTTGTAGTACCTACTGCTTAATTTTTTTAAGTAACTACTACTACTTCTACCTATTACTTACATATTTTTACATGACTGCCCAAAAAATTATTCATATACACAAAACAAGTCAGATTTACTCAGCTTAAAACTGCTCTCTAAAAGAAATACAATAAAAATAAATAATTACATACGCACTACTAAATAGATAGATAAAATTATCATTACAATTGGGGCACCTCTTAGATTATAGAGTTCCACATAATAGTTTGTAAGGATGATATTTTTATTTATGTAATTAGTAGTGTATGTATGTATGTGTGTGATTATCAGTGGTCGGAATTAGGTAGAGTTATTCATGTACTTACACTGATTTCATACAGCGAAAGAATAAAGTGGATATGCCTCAAATCTCGACATTAATTTTAAAGAGCAGAAAAAATCCCGTGATTTTTTTAAATAAAAAGTTATTTACTTTTACACAATTTAAACTACTGCACGCACGACGTTGCCAAACTTACATTAATGAAAGAAAGAAATAAATAAATCCCGGGAAGGTCCACATTAATATCAACATTTCGATGCAAGTACATAAATAACTCTACCCAATTCCGACCTCTGGTGATTATAACACCTTTTTAAAAATATTAAATGTACATTTTATATAAAATGTCACAAATAATCATAGATCTTTTACAAATTGCAATTGTTATTTAGTAAACCCTGTTAATTATAAAATTATGAATGGTGTCAACTCTCGTGTAAAATAAAAAAAGAAATGTGTATATTTTGTATCACTATTTGTAATACCACATTTCATTAAAAGTTAATTTAGATATATCGTAGGTCCGTTGATAAGGACAGTCGCATATTTTTGTACTTAATTATAATAATATACCGTCAACAGCCAGGTTTAGGTTAACTGGCGAATTTCTTGATTATATATCTTAGCTTGTTGAAATCAGAATTTTGTAATGCAACAGCAAACAGCTGTGCGTACGCAAATGTGTCAAAAACTCATCAAGATTATAGTAACTTATTTTCTTATTATTTTTTATTTTATCATCATTTATTGCTATTTTACTATTTTCGAATTTTAAACAAGATTCAACAACACTTCATATGTCTATTATATTTTCAATTTTTGACATTAAAAAGATTCACTGTCAGGTAAATTATGAACAACATCGGTTCAGAATATAAGCTTGTCTAAAAAAAATCACTGAATTAAAAATACTATCATCAGAAGTATAGAGCTTCCATGATATCCTAATTGTACGACACGGCTTTGCGACATTTTTATTTTACCTTTTTAGGGCTCAAACAAAGATTGACACTTAGCTAAGATAGAATCTCAAATATAAAAGGTCTCCGACATTAGAATAGTATGTGCAAGTTATTTTCTTATTCAGAGACAACTTTTTTTTTAATTTATAAACTGTGTCACAAAATCAATACGATGTCTAATCCAAATTATGGCCGATAAGTATATATAAGTAATGTGTTTACAAAAAGTAAACTTTTTGTGTTAAGATATTTTGAATCGGTTCGGCTGTTTTTCCATCAGAAATGTTGCTATGCTACTAGTTCAACTATGTTTTTTTTTTGCTTATTTGAAAGTATGCGTGCTATTAAATGTTTATAAATAAAATGTTTATCCAGGGCCTGGTCTAGACTCTCCGTGGTGTAAAATATTCTCAGCCCCATATACCAACACCAATCCGATCACCATAAAATTATAAGTTTGCTGTTTTATAAAGTGGTGTTATAGAACGTGTGGTATGTTTGTAATCGTTGTAATGTTCACATATTATGTTGGTCGTGTGAACGTGTATATAAAAGTTTTAGGAAAATGGCGGCAAGTTCCGCTGTTTGTATAAATAATAATATTTATTTATTATCCTTTTCTCTACCATCGATCAGTGTAACTGAGCCATTACTACCAGTGGGAACGAACACGCTTCATAGCTTAGATTTCACTCCCTCGCAGCATAGCTTCTTAACACCCCTCTGGTGGGAAAGCACCCGTAAATTTAGATGTTGATATTTTCCGAATTTAGACGATTGCAATAATTTATTAAAAATGTTGAAAAATCGTGATTCCTTTGCTTTTATAAAATTCCAATGTGCTCAAAGCATTTTTAGTGTATAAATGATAATTGATATAGTCTGTTGAAGTAGACGTATATAGCGCTAGGTATCGAATTACTTGAGATAGATAGATATTTTAGAGAATTGTGTATTATTTTTTAACGTGTGTTTATTTAGTTATCGGGTATGATTCTGTTGCATCCTTTGTGTTAATGATTGCATGTCACAGTGAATATAACAAACGACAAATATTAATTATATACTAATAATGAAAACGAATTTTTAATAACTTATTCCATAGGGTTGAAAATAAAATGAATAGTTTCTTTCGCGACTAATTGGATACCGTGTCTCATTTCTAACATAAAGAAGAGAAAGAGATAACATTGCCTACTTGATTTATAGAGGATGTAGCTGAATCGGACCTCATTATTGAATTAAGATATTACAATTATTTTTGTTTTTATTGTGAAGAACTTGCCGTGTTTATGCTGTTATGAAACTGATTGCCTCCATTTGGTTCATATTGTATATTTCTTTCTGTTCCTACTACAACACTTATCCAGAAATATTAATATGAGTTAATAAGGCTCTTTTTGTTGTGTGTTTCTTATTACTGCAACTTTCGACCGCCAGATTGCACCACCAGTAGGCCTAAAATTCGGAATTGGCCTGCTGCGCATGTAGTAAACAATTTTTTATAAAAGTCTAACGTCATTCACAGAGTGGTGGACAAAGGGAAAAGAAATAGTGAGATGTAAGCATTGAATATATTCTTTTAATTTTATCCAATAATACATGATTGCTGCATATTAGAATGTAGGAAGGGAATCGTTCATTTACAAAAGACAAATAGTTTTTTTGTTTACTACGTGTGCTGGTGCTGCCATCTACACCGAACTTTGCGTTATATTACAAATATATAAATGTTACGAGTAAGCGATATTTATGCTCAATTAATAAGGAACCTTATTTCTGATTCTCTTCAATGTTATGAAATTATTTACATGCACCTATTATATGTAAGTTAACCACTTTTATATGTAGGCCACTACAGAACCATATCTTATCAACGTAAATTAAAATACATATGCACAAGCATAAATGACGTTTATGGCATAATGTTTTCGAAATAAACTTTCCTAGAAATTGATTTAGCATACACCATACAGTGATAAGTAATAATTTTAAAAGTCAGAATCATATTAGGGCTTTACTTTTATATGTATAACAATTTTAAAAATAGTCACGACACCGAAAAAAAAATTGAAACAATCGCCTTTAAACATCTAAACTGTCTCGATAGTGGCCTTGAATATATTTGGTGAACTATACATACATGTCCTGCTACTGTAGATTTGCCTTAATAAGAAAAAAAAATCCAAATTAGACTGATTTAACAAACTTATACTTATGGTAGGTAATACATATGTAGCATAATTTATATAGTTCTTAGTGTTTAGTGCGTAATCATAAAGTGTCATTCCAATTTTCATGTTATGAGAGAATACGATACTAAATTATGTAGGTATATGAATCTTATTTTTAATATTATGTCAAATCCTTACTGAGAAAATATCCCTATGCATCACCGCAAGGTAAAGAATCTTAATTTAAATTAATAATTTTCATATGTTTTATATAAGATACTTTACTTTTAAAAGCGACTTATGACGGCTGTACAATGCTTTCTTGATGACGAATTAACTTTGATGTTGATTTTCCAGTCCTTGTCATCCGTGGTCCACTATTTGTACTGTAATTCATGCTGGCCCTTTTTTGCTGGCCCAGGAAAAATGCATTATGCACTATCCCTGCCGCCTGACCGAACAGCAGGGTGTGTATTAGAAATTATTGATATAGCTTATCGCCGAAAAAAAATATAATGTTTACGATATTCTTCAGTAGGCAAAGGTTTTTGCTATAGTTTCACTTTACTGTGACAAACTGGCTAGATGCGTCTGTGTGATATGTAGTGCCGGGTCATTGTACGAAATTCTCTGTATACGGCGAGAGTGCTATAGCCCTAGTTAGGAGTCGAAGCACATTGAAGAGTCCTGTTCTTCATAGTATTGCCGTGACAGCCCCGGACCGTCAAGGTTATGTTGCGGTGATGGTTTTTCTCAGATACAAAAAGCCATGGAACGACCAGCCACTTAGTTTAATACCACTCGGACCACTTGAGATCCTTCCACGGACCACTAGTGGTCCGCGGGATGGCCAAAGAAATTGCCGTGACGATGTTAGCATATATATATTACAACGATTGCCTTCCACAAGCTTTCAATATAATATATATATATATATATATATATATATATATATATATATATATATATATAAACATAAAACATTTCTGCTGACAATTGCCACAGGAATCTTTTTGTGAACAGTCAACGATCTTTAAATGTAGCAATTACAAGAATTAATTCATGATATCCATTAAGTATTTCTTTATTTATAATAAACTGTTATCATATATTACCTATAACTTGAAATATTTAGTTTATTAATAAAATTATATTTATAGTTTTATAACCATGTTCTTTGGGATCACGATTTTAGTTTAGTTTATTAGAAAAAAAATAACATATGAAAACCATTTGAAATTATTTGCTATTTTCTTTTATTCTTATGTTATTCTACTTACTTCCTTTTTTGCTGCTAAACTTTCCGAGAAATCGGAAAAAGGTAGCTATAGTAATTCTGGATCTTCCAGCCTGAAAAAAGTGTATGATTATAGATTAGGGTTGGCTCACATCTGACGGAAGATCCGTCAAGCGTCTCGTGGAAGTATGCGACAGTTGTGAGCCGACCCTTATCATAGATTTTTATTCTCTGATGATAAAACTACTGTGATTATCTAAACTTGGCAATTTTGTATAAAGTGCAACTGTATATAAATTAATATTTATTTATTATAAATTGTTTTATTTGTTACCTTTGTTACCTTTCATTGAAACAAATAAGTATCTATACAGAAGACTAACAAAATAAAAACAAATAACGTAAGTTGTTTTGTTCAGTATTTATTATTGCAACAATTTATACAATGTAATAAATGCTAATGCTACTAGATATATGTATTAGGTTAACTAAGCAATTAATAAATTACATCTGTGAGTCTTAGAGGCATCTCATAAAGCAACATTCATAAATAAGATACTATGAAAATTATACTTGGGGCTGACATTATCAATTTTTACATATATTTCTATGATACAAAATCTTTAGGAACTAGTGTTATTTATTGTTCTTTCATACTTTGCAAAGGAAATGTAATTAACTTAAAATTTGTTAAATTGTGGGAAATTTATAGAGTGAGTAAATTGATTATTTTATATTGTTAAATGAATAAGACCTATATCAAATCATCCGTTGCATGGCAATGGGCTTTTTGACCACCACTCATCCCAATTGTTAACCCTTTTTGCTGTATCTAAAACTGACCAATTAGGCGATGGAATATCTGGAGCTAACCAGTTAAAATCATCCAAACGATCCCAGTTATTAATGTTTCTGTCTAAAGATGACATATTGAAATGTTTATCCAAGTCTTCATAATATAAATTATATGGCGCCGTTCTTATTTCTGAGCAATCTTCAACTATTCCTTTGCTTGTTACATGTAAATAAATATCACATTTGGATGAGGTATGCATACGAAGTTGTTGACAAGCAGTGACAATTTTGGAGTTCGTACATTTCTCAACAAATACAGAAGAAGTGACAGGACCACAAAGGATTATGCAATTGTCTAAATTGGTCATATGTAATGTGCCCATCACACCCTTTAGGGCAATTGTGCAATTCTTCAAGTTACGTAAAGTGACATCTCTTTGAAACAAGTCATCACTATCAAGTGATAAAACCTTGTTTTCTAATGAATCGAAACCAAACAGCTTCTCATCCCATTTGTTACTGTCTGCTTTACCAGCTGTGTCATTCTCGTCAAACGAACTTTGTTTTTCAGTGTTTGATTTCAAAAGTTTCTTTTTTGTAAATCCAAACTTCTTGCGAGGGACATATCTATCTTCTAGCTCATAACATTTTGTCTGCAAATTTTGTACAATGCCCAAGTATTTACGCATATTGAATTCTTTTAAGAAAAATGATGATGTAATGACATACTTCTGTAATTCATTGACTTCTCTTTTGATATTATCGAAATGTGACGGAAGAACTTTGGAGTCCATTGTAGGTATTTGGGACAACATATCTTCAATGTATTCAGATTTGATTTTGAAAGCTCCAGAGAAATATTCCTCATTTTCATCAGATGCATCAACTTCTTCCCGTGCTTTATGTGCCTTTTGTAATTTCTCAAGCCTCTGTGCATCTCTCTTGCTTAGTCTTTCTAATACAGTATTTTTATCACTCATTTTTTAATGAGCTCTTCTAACTTTTTGTTAAGTTCAGAATCTTGATTTGCGGCCTCCTTTAGCACTTTAATAGTTTCAATAGAAAACTTTCTAGTATCAGTATGTTTGGATGACAAATCAAACTGAAAAAAAAAATGAAAAAAAGTTATTTTAACATCTAAACAACCGCTAGATGAGTCCCAAATAAATGAACCTAGTAAATGGTTAATGAAATTTAATTACATTTTGGAATAATTACACACATAGATGTTATTCGAAACACATTGATAAACTCAAGTGTATAATGCTAATTAAAAATGAAAACACAAAGTAACACACATTATAGACATGCACAAGTAATAGCCCCATAAAGTGTTAAACATCTGTGACCACTAAAACTGAACAAAAAAGTATGTATATTGACCTCTTTAAGCAGCTCATCATTAGGTTTGACCACTTTGAAGAGTGCATAAGTGAGGCCGCCAATGGTCACCACCCAAAACGAGGCTCTAATAGCAATGCTCATCTCACCAAGGTTTAAATTTTCCCTTCGTTAGTCCAGACTTTTAGATCGAGTTCTCTTGTTTTGTGATCAGCGATTCTTTCACCCAATTGATAGTACCCTTCCAACACCCAGTTACAATTTTTGTACATGTACAGACGAAAATCTGGAAAAACAAGTTAAAATACTTCGATAAATGAAATCGGTAATGAGTACAGTATTTGTATTATTAAAATATTGTGTTTCTCGTCTTGTTGTCTGTTTTTCTCTACATTTTTAATTGATTGCTTTTGCAATCAACTTACCTCTCTCTGTATTGAGTTTATACCACACACCGTATGACACAGCAATACCTAAAGCCTCGGCGATAAAAATAGCCTTTAATGCCGATCCGAACAACCTCTTGTATGCTGGTTTTGCTTCTTTTATTAACATATTACGATTAAAAAAAAGAAAGAATTTTGATTTTTCTGCATGAACGAAACGCCCAAGACTCTTTTCTAATAGTTACTATGACCACAAAACCAAATATATGGGTTGACGTGCGTGCGTGACACACACGCCCAGCTAACACCAATCACCAATGAGTAAAGTCCAATTACCTAGGAATTGATTGAATGATACTTTCGATACTTATGAATTATCGATACTTGAAAATTAAGGTATCGAGAGGATCGTGGTATCGACTAGTCCATTTTTAAAATATCGAGTACTTTTTGTCACTACTTAAAACAAATTACTTTCCATGGTTAAAATGCATACGGTGGCGATCGGTGACTTAGCAATTGGTCTGCTGGAATGCACCCAACGATTTTAGCAGATCGCATCCCTAGATTTGACTTGAAAATCTTGAACGCAGCGCAACTGAAAGGAATGAATGAATGAATTTTAGCACCGGTTTTTCCCAGTAATTGCGAACGGTCAGTTTTTATTTTTTCTTAAAATTTAATGCTTATGTTCACATCAAACTGAATCTTTATTTTACCCTTTTGATTTAAAATATCAAATAATAAATAAAGCCATTACCAGCTTAAAAATCGCAGCTTTTCATATGCATGATATATGTAAAATATAGGAAATTTTGATATTTATTATAAATATCGGATTCCTACGCACCCTGATTAAAATTGCAACATAATGTAAAAACAAAGTTGTATATGAGAGCATGAATACGTTTCAAATCTAAAACAATAAGAACTCTAACACCTATAACAAAAGATTTAGTTGAAGATTTAATAAATTTAAGGAGTTGCTAACAAAGAAAGGAGTAAGATAGGGGATGTCTATCGTCAGCTATATAAATACTAATTTGTTGAAAAGAAACGTATTCGTTTGAGCGCCATAAACTTGCTTCGACGTACTTATTGTACCGAAATAAATGTTAAGATATTTTTAACGTTTAATTGATTATAAAATACAGGTGATTCTTAAAATAATAATACAGTCCATGTGTTACTGTAAATCCCAGAAGTCGGATAATTGGAATGATGACTGGGTTTTAAATAAAAATAAAAACTTCTTTGTCCGTCAGCTAGATAATAGAAAAATGTTAGATACTTAGTTTGATACTATATTTATTTGCTTTAATTTAACAATAAATGGCTCAGATAATAAGCTGAGTAATGGGGTTCGCTACGTCACAACTATGTAGAAAATTTAGAAAGGAGTAACGTCTACAATGTATTGATTACGAAAAAAGTCGTGTTTAATATTTTTCAATAACCTAATGGACAAAAAACAACAATAATTATTCATCATCTATATTCTTCAGATTTTCCTGCAAAAACTAAGATTTACCCAATGTTTACTTGCTAAAATCCGAATTGTCCCACCATCGTTGGTCGTTAAATTCGAACCTTTGAATCTTAGGCTTTACATCTGTGACATAGCAAATGTAAAGAAGAAAAATTTAATTGTTTGTTTACTTGTATTAAAATAGGCTCCTAAACTATTGGGTCGATTTTAAAAATTCTTTCATCTTGGAGAAGTTATATAATACGCGGGTGACATAAACTATAATTTACGCGGGCGAAGTCGCGAGGAAACAGCTAGAAGTTAAAATAATGCCGTGAACATGCCTCAAAAAAGAATCGATACTTTTCGGGTATCGATACCTAGGGTCGATACCGATACCGATATTCAGTATCGTGAACGGAGGCTGATACTATTATTACTGTACTCTTTGCTGATACTTCGAACCCTACAATTACCCAATCACCGTTTACTAGATAACGTAACGTAACCAAATTAGGGATGCTCGTAGACAGTAAGATAGCACCGATTTTTAAAGGTTCGCGGTGAATCGGATCAATATCAAATGAATTTATTTGGTACATACTGGGAGGAATAAAATGACCGACACAGCCGAAAGTTTCAAGTTAGGTTACATGCAAACGTTCATTTTATTTGACAAATATTTAAAAATAGAGGAGGTGTAAAAATGAAGTAAACATTTTAAAATTCTAAGTGTTGGCAGCCCTATAACGCGCATGCGCAATATCGATTGTGTGCAGATTACAACGAACCGCGAAATACATTAATTTAATTTAATTATTTACCGATATCTTAATGATAGTCGATGCTGAAAATGTTCAATTCTTCTCTGAAGACAGCTAAGCACGCTCTTTTGCATGCCAGTGTATGCACGCGCAAAACACATCACATTTCACACAAAACTATACACAATCTTCACTAAACTAAACTTAACACTCAAGACGAACACTCTAGTACAAAACAAAAATGCACTAGAACAAAACAAAAATCGACAAAAAAGACGCTTCGCAGCGGTGCGTCGGTGGCGATGCTCAACAACACTCCAGCGCAAAAGCTCGACGGCGACTGATCGGCCGGACAATACCAACAGAATAATGAAGCCGCCTGGCGGCTGGCGGGTGGGTGGGGCTTTGATATTGAGGGACAAACTCGGTTCATATTTTTTTATTCGTCTTTTGATTTTACGCAGTTTTTAATGTTCTTTTTAAATGCTATTTTAATTACAAATTCCTCAATGTTTTTAAAACAAAGTTCATTTGTGTTTATGATGAATCGCTGGAAGATTTGTCAGTTTAACGAGTTTAATTAACGATCCCGTTGTTAAAGGAGTATTACCCCATTCAAACAATTTTTATGGAGAAATGCTCTTTTAAAATAACGTAGGTTAACGTTAGACTGATCTCTCTACAATAATTTAGGAAATTTTACACTCGGTTATTTAAAGTTAAACGTCTCAAACTAACATCACTTAGTTTTCGTTTCCGATTTTAGTTTTTTGATGATCAGTTGATAGCAGTTTGATAAAATCAAGACTATTTGACTTGTGAAATTAAAAAAACTTAAGTCATTGAGAATAAGCAGTAGAAATTTTCTACTTTTTTCAAATCATAAAACGGCTGTTAGTCTGTAAATCGATTTAAGCATTTTGACTGCCTTGTTTGTTGATTGACTGGTAGAATTTGCATGAAAGCAGTCTTATAAATCACAAACTAGTTTATTTCGTTTTTAGAAATAAAGAAGTCAATGACCGATTAAAAACTTTTCCTTAGTACGTCCTAAAAACAGCTGACTCAGGGTTGAAAACACTCATTTTTTTTCAAAAACTATGCAATTTAATATCTCCGAAACTATTTGACCTAGACTTATAATTTTTTTTACATCATATTAAACACAAATAGTACTCTCCAGGAACCTCGGAAGTATCGGTCGTTCTGTTCCACCGAGTATATCCTATGTAACATCATACATGTATAAAATTTGTTTGATTCAATCAATCAAACAAACGTAACTTGTGCACTGCTGCACAAGTTACGTTTGCGCCTGGCCTGCCTGGCCATACGATTTTTTTTTTGACCGGGACAGAAACTTGATATTGTGCCCGTCTACGTCCCATGGGGGGACCTGGAATAGATTTTATATTTTCATATTTTGCAGTGTATGATGTTTTTCTTTTATTGACTTTGAGAATATATCCGTCTTATCTTAGCCTATAATCAAAATTAACTCAAAAATTTTTGTGAAGCTCGTTGTTGCTGAAGGCGACCTTTTTCATAGATTACCTTTTTATAGATTTTTTAAAGAGATTCTTTACCCTACTTGTCTTTCTTTTATAGGCTTATATATACAGTCCACAGTGTTTGTTCGTTTTTCTTTTAACTTTTTTATGTTATTGGCCCCCATAGATCCGGCCCTGTTACCATTATTACTTCGAATATTCTAGAATCAAGCAGACACATTAAACGAATTAGAAATTGACTGTCGAAACTCTGTCGTTTCTTTAGCCCGTGTTTAGTCATAACAATTTTGATTTTCTTGTTAAGCCCAGTTTGAGAATGCCTAGAATGAGAGGCGTGTTATGCTTTGGACAAAGTAATTAATTAAGCATTTTATAATGCTACAAGGGCCAATGCCCAATACAAGGAGACAAACTGATAAAATCTAGCAATTAACTAATTAATCGGGCTGTTCATTTACAATGCTCGTCACTTATCGATCAGAAAAACTGAATCGGTTTCATTACTTATAACTTTTTTGCATTATAATAAATACTATTTTTATTTAATAGACGAGCAATGAGTGTGACTCACGAATGTCAAATTAACCTAAGTCTTTAGCCATGAGTCCATGATCGCAATAGGTCATAGGACATTTTAAACACAGAGTATATTAAATTACTTGTTTTCCTAAGCGTTTGTATACGCGCCACCAATTTAGCCAATGTAAAATGAATTTAAAATGTTTAATTTTTTTTTAAGGTATATCAGTGCATACTAAATGTACGAAATTTTTTCTATTCGGCGACCGTGCTATAACAATATTTATAATGAGAGCAATTATTTATTTCGCGTAGATCGCTCATCATTATGCAAAATGCGCGGTTATTATTAACCGACTTTAAAATAGGAGATTATCAATTAGAGCTGGATGTATGTAATTTCGTTGGAATGGCGTAATTTTCATATACGATGGTCTGTTCGACTTTTAAACGCGTGTGCAAAATTTTATAGATGTGTATCTGTATGTTTGTGCGCCTATTTCTCGCAAAATAGACATCGGATTACGATCATTCTTATTTTATCTTTTTTGTTTAATTGCTTAACTTTCAACGCAGGGAACACTAAAAGTTTCATCAAAATCGGTTCAGTAGTTTTGCTTATAAAAGGAGTAAAAGTTGATGACCTTTTTTTAACAACTTCAAAAACAGGCGGCCATCAATTTACCTGGGTATTTACGTCATAAACCGCCTTCGAATTTGACCTGTATGTAATAGGGTATTTGACACTATCGTAAATAAGTTGCATTTTGTGGTCATCCTGAAAAATAATAATCTAATAAAGCTTATTTCTTAAAATCTGCAGAAAAAACATGTTTAGATTTAGTAAAATAACGTTAAGAAAATGCAATATTTTTAGGAATTTATTTAACGACGAAAACGTCCTATAATTGGTCGTCGTCACAACCAATCACGATTCTGTTTACTGGCCTGTGACGTCATCAGCTGTCATGTCAAAGTAGTATTAAAATGTCATGTCAAAGTAGTAGTAAAAAATAATAAAATTATAATAATAATATAGTGTTAGAAAAATGCATAAAATATCAATACCTGTAGGTATCGAGTACTTTATAGTAATTTACTGATAACAGAATACTTTGCCGCTTCTACTGATAAGAACTGCCAAAAAGAAATACAGAAAGAAATAATTATTTACTAAGCTTTTTAAAAAATCCAAGAAATAGGGAAAACGTCAGCAATTTAAAAAAAGAACAACTTAGATGTTTTTCACATTTCTTGAACTTTAATATAATAATTCAAAATTACAAAGTCGATTTTGATGATGTTCTCAAAGTTAAAAACTAATTTTAAAAAATCATCGGGATTTGATATCTAATTATCAAATGCCATGCATTTAGTGGACAGACATACATTCTTTATCGTACTAATGTCTCATCCATCTGTAGGTCGACAGGCTGTGCGAGCCCTGTCAACAAAAGAAAAAACCAAAAAGAAAACCTTCAAATGTATAGATATGAAATAAAAAAGTTTCAATACATACTTTTAGCGAATCCTTCCCTATATTATTTTATCACCCATCTCTACTCTATATAGCTACTATACTATTGTGATTGTGAATCTATTTTCTTCTAGACTCGAAGTTTGTTTGTTATTTATAGAAGTATTAGTACATTGTGGCACTACGCACCACTTGTAGCTCATTTTTTAAAGAAAACCAGAGCAGAGGAAAATAGAAAACGTAAAAAATACGCACTACGACTTCAATCTCTTTTCTAAATTATTATTTCAATTTACTCTAACAACTGTCTTTAGATGTGCCTTTACTTATCGATTTGACATATTTACTGGCCTGTGACGTCACGATCAGTGCCATTACATAGAGCAGCGTTTTTCGCGCGCGGCTATTTAAATTTTAACAATTATTTTCACCAAAAATAGAAAAGATTCCAATGAAATATTATGACAGCGTGTTTATAATGTAGCAAACAACTATTTAAAATAGTTTTCAGAAAAAAGTCAAATACCCTATTTTGTTGGAACGTGTGCTTAGGGATGGGTAAGCGCTTAGTATTTACTAACCTTTTGTACTTTCAACTCAGAATGTATGTTTTACTATTAGAATTGTTTATCTGTTGTTTTTTAACAGCATCAATGAGAAAACCATAGACCTAAGTCTTAAATTTGCTTTAAGTATGCGTGATGTTTGTTACATCAAAACTTTTTACAGAGTGATCCGATCCAATTGATTCTTTTTTTTTTATTTGAAAGCTGATGCTTCCGGTGCGGTCTCATTTCAAATTTCAGCATAGTTTTTGTCAGATTTAGGAGAAGGCTTAAGGTATATTAACATACTTAAAAAATGGAGGTTGGTACGTTAACACGGTTTTGATGCGGTTTTCAAACAAATATTTTTAGTATTATCTACCTATTTAAAAAAAAATCAATATCACTGAAAATCATGAAATAAAAAGTAAAAAAAATAGAACCGACTTCAAACTTAATTAAATGAAAATAATATTTATCTCAAAAGCGACTTCTTCAAGAAAAGTCGGGTGGAGGTTTTCTGTAGGTTATTAATTAATTGATAAGCGCCCGACTTCAATAGCATTTTCTTGAATAAGTCGCTTTTGAGATAAGGAGTCGTCCATTTATCACGTGAGGCTCAAAAGGGAGGGGAGGGATTCGTCAAAAATCACGAAATATCACAAGGGGGGTGGTGGGCTGTAGTAATATATCACGTGTATTTATTTTTTCGTCGACGCGCGATTATTAAACCGAAAAGCGACGTCGAAAATGAAGATATTTTGTTTTTTTTTTAAATACACGTGAATTGGTTAAAGGAGGGAGGGGGTAGTCTTAAACCTCACCAAGGGGGAGGGGGGATCAAAAAATGTTGAAAAAAACCACGTGATTAATGGACGGCCCCTAAGTATTATTTTTCACTTTTTTTAAGTTTTTTGTATATAAGCGTCGTTAGCTCATAGTCCAGGGGTGCGGCAAGTTAATATTATGGAGGATAACAGTAACAGTTTTCTCTTACAATACATGTTATTGTTTTATAAATATCTGGGACCGAACTCAAATTTTGTGGTATTATTTCTGTCTTCTCAGTTGTTCTTTTTATTACGTTTTTTTTTTGAAGTCAGTTAAATATTTTCTATTAATATCTTTTGAAATAAAAAATAAAACTAGGATCATATTTCATAAAATTATATTTCTGATTTAATAATTTGTGTGATTTTTTCCTCTTTTAATCCTTAAGGAGCAAGTTCTGGTTCAGGTGTATCTATAACAGTCAAAAACAGATATTCTCATAAACGATACAAAAAGTTCTATGGATAACGATATCCATAACACTAATAATATCATTCCTCACATAGTTCGTTGTCCGTTATTTCAACTACCCTAGAAATATACTACCTTTTCAGCATAGAACATTATATGCATAACATGTTTATGTATTTAATCAGAATATTCTATGTTTGATTACAACAAAAAAAAGAGATACATCATTTACATATAAAGCAATTTATCGGGCAAGATCCATTCGATTCACTGTAAATTGGGAAGTCTAATCGCTGTTAGAGAGTTACAGTGTTATTACAAAAAAGATAAACACGCGTTGAACACGTGTTTAAAAATTGTTCTATATAATTCTCAAATAGAACAATTTTTAAACACGTGTTCAACGCGTGTTTATCTTTTTTGTAATAACACTGCTAGGGTCCCGATATCGGCTGATCGTGGTTTTAGGTATTCTGGGTGTATTTGACTTGTGGATCTAGGACCAAAAGGGTCTTTTTTATTTCATTAACATTTTCAGCTAACATTGCTATTAATAAACAAAGATTAGTGTCAGAGTAAATTTACGCTAAAATTGCAACTTTAGTATTACTTTTAGAATAAGCAAACTTACTACCTTCTATATATTATTCTCCTAGAACCTCTCTATTTAATATTATAAATTTTTACTAATACTAAGTGCAGTCTCAGCGTAAAGGGTTTAGCCGGATACGTATGACGAGTCGGCCCCCAAATGGGAATCGATATTGAAACTTATGTTTTAATATAGACTTGATGTTCAAACACGATTTATGTACTTTTCGCGACCGACTTCCGCTTTGACCTTGAGATAGAGAGCAAAATATCCGTATGCTTGACTATTACTGAATGTGATATATCTCTGAAGCTAATTAAGATAAAGAAGTGAAACTAACGCGAGGTGTTAGGTTACATTACAGAGTATATCACATATATTTTTTTATAATTTTTAGAATAAAAAATTACATTAAAAAAATAAAAAATAAAAATACATATTTTTTTTTTCTGAGTTCTCTGTGACTTACAATCACGAAATTAATATATGTTATGCTCCTTTGTGTGCTCTATCACCCATAAAAATTGCGTGAAAAAAAAGTTGGTGCAACACAACGAAAAAAAATTATATGTGATTCGCGCCTTGTAGTGTGAGTGTATAAACAAACAAGTTCGAACTTGTTATCGAGTTGTTTACTGCATCGTTTGTTTAGCTAAAGTAGCAGTCATTTGTATTACACAAGAAGGCAGTTTGGGACTCAAATTCTGTCATAGGTATTTTGTATCAGCATTTTGAAATTATTAACTATCGAACCAAATCAAATCGAATCGAACCAAGTCGAGAAAGTGTAAAAATTGTAACAAGTACCTGTGTAAGATTCCTGGTTATAAAAAAATTCTAAAGAATGAAGAAGAAGCTAGTGTTTAGTGACTGTTTGAATAAAATCGTAATAGTTAATGATATTTTATGTAAGAAGTGTCGACTTATCCCATATATTAACAAAAAAGCTTCTACTTCTAAATGTTCAGCATTTAACTTGGCCGAAATAATGGACGATCAAAATAATCTCTCAGTACAATATGTGAAATCAGCACCTAATATCATCAAAGCAGAAGTAAAATCAAGACATATAAATAGAAAAGTCTATCGAATTTACATTCACTATATTTCCGAAGGTAATGACTACAATAGTATTCTTCGTTATTGCTGTGATTGCCCCAATGGCGAACGTACAGTGGGATGCTGTTCTCATGTAGCAGCTATTATTTATTATCTATTATATGGATGATATTTGTCCAAAATCGTACGTCCTGCTGAGGTCCTAACTAAGTTATTTGCGACTTAAAGTGTTCCGATTGTAATTAATTACAACAGTGACGATGATTAATATTTTGTTTCTTGTATTTTGATTGACACGAAAAAGTAATAATAATAAGTATTGAACACTGGCTGTTTTTTTTTCATTTCTTTTTTAACTATTATCCCATCTCTTAGGACTAGTCACTTATGTTTTAAAACAAGCTGATGTGAAATTTCGAAAAAAAAACAATGATGTAATGTGAAAACCTTATAATACAGGGGTATGCCATAAGACAGAAATCACATATAATTTTTTTTCGTTGTGTTGCACCAACTTTTTTTTCACGCAATTTTTATGGGTAATAGAGCACACAAAGGAGCATAACATATATTAATTTCGTGATTGTAAGTCACAGAGAACTCAGAAAAAAAAACATGTTTTATTTTTTTTTTATTTTTTTTATGTAATTTTTTATTCTAAAAATTATAAAAAAATATATGTGATATACTCTGTAATGTAACCTAACACCTCGCGTTAGTTTCACTTCTTTATCTTAATTAGCTTTAGAGATATATCACATTCAGTAATAGTCAAGCATACGGATATTTTGCTCTCTATCTCAAGGTCAAAGCGGAAGTCGGTCGCGAAAAGTACATAAATCGTGTTTGAACATCAAGTCTATATTAAAACATAAGTTTCAATGTCGATTCCCATTTGGGGGCCGACTCGTCATACGTATCCGGCTAAACCCTTTACGCTATATCTTGTTTATTAATAACACTGTCAGTTTCCAGCTTCTTTCTCCATTAACTTTTATTGCCAAACCTTGTTAGATATGTAAAAAGGTTTGTATAACTCCAGGCCCAGGGATTGTTATCTCTGAGGCGCTGAATCACAAAAATAGCACTGATATGAAACTATATATTGGCATAGATATGATTAAGTGTCACAGACTCTGGATGCTCATGAGATTTATTGATTAGATTTTTATAGGATACCTTCTTGTTCTTCTTCTTCTGATTCTATATTTAGACAATCTTCTTCACAAAGTTCAGTCTGAAAAGTTTCTTCTTTTGAGCAGTACTTAGGCACTTCTCTATCCTCGGAAGCACTCTATAAAAAAATGCATATATTACTTTATTTACAACGTACATACCTATAACACTACAATAAATGATAACTAAGTAGACAATATTAGTTGTGCAGAAAATATTTAAAAAAAATAAATTACTGATAGCGGTAGGTACTATGTTCTACACCAGGGGTGGCCAACTTGTTTAGACCCAAGTTCGACTTTTCACTGACGACACCTAGTACGATCTACCAATTAGTTTACTTCTTAAAATCTTAAATGAAACAGCATAGTTCGTACACAATTATGTAGCATTTGATTTTATTTATATTTTTTTGAATTGCCACAATCGACTGGACTAACAGTCGCGATCGACTGGTTGGCCACTCATGTTCTACACATTTTTGTAAATTAAGAAATCTATGCACCATGAAGTTGTTGTCGTTTAAACTACCTCTATGTATTTATAAACGACATAAGTAATTACGAGTATATCTACATATAGGTACACACGGTTGGACCTCAGGTTACTAGTTAGTCACTGCAGGGGATCAAAATGGTCCATAGAGAGTAACAGAAATATTTCCGGCCTTAATTTTTTTATTATTTTTGAAACTAAGGTTAGGCATACCTATATTTTTAGCTCTTCTTATTTCTTTTAATATCCAATCTCTTTTAATATAAATTAAAGTACAAAAGTGACTTGAGCTTTATTATTATAACCATTGTATAAGACTCAAACCACCTTGTAAGCCTTACAAGGTAAGGTTTTGCTTATGTAATAAACAAACAATATAATACTCACATTATATTTACCGACTACGATTCCATCTACAATGTGGTACCGATATTTGAGCCTCATGCCCGTGAGGGTACCGTTCTCACATTCGCCTTCGCAGGGCCATTCTTCCCAAGCTGTCATGGGACATTCCTCTGATGATCCCGGGTCAGGGGTTACATTATCTTCGCTACACAAAGATAAATATTGAAACATAGTGAACCTGTATTTGAATAAATAAATATAAGTCCCGTTAATTGTCAATACACTTGTTACATATCCACATACCACTAATAAAGCTGACAAGCATTTCCGTCAACCTACATTTTTCCATATATTGCATCAGTTGCTGACGGCGCTCAACGTGACATCGGGCCGCGCATCGCAACCGAGGCTGCGACGCGTCACTTTTTGTTCATACTTCGAGCAATTTGTCGTTTACATTTTATTATAATAAATATATTGTAATTTCTTTACTAGAAATTAAATAGACTAAGAAAAATTTTGTTTTTTTTTTACATCTTACGGCTGTAGCTTTCGTAATTCGCTGGAACCTTGTCTACTAATACCCACGTGACGTCATATGAAAACAGAAAGTATAGATAGCGCAAAAAACAAGAGATAAATTATATATTAATAATTGAAATATTTATGAATATTCCCTAAAATATTGTTTTATTGATTTCATTCACATGTAATAACACGATAACAAACGGAGAGGACTTTTTTCATACTTAACCAAAAGTAGTAATGGAATGAGAGACCTTACATATATTTAATATTAGTGAATGTTTACTTATCGTGAAAATCATAATAGCAGTTGGTATTTTAGTCAACCATTACAAGTAAAATCAAAATTTACAATAACAATCGAAACCAACAAAAATGATGCGTGTCCTCAACACAACCCAGCTCAATAAGTACATATATGTATTTCGTTTACCAGGGGGCCCATTCTACTAAATAAATTTTGTTTAAATCGAATCGAAAATCCCTTGCAGTGGGAGAGCCCGGCATATTTTATACTACTCTTTGGAGCCCGGGTTCAGTCGGCCTCTCGCCCAGGTCGATGGCATGTTAAGGTCAGTTCCCCTCTGTATAAAAAAAAAGTCGACATACGATACAATTCCAGCTAAAATAGAACTGGAATTGTATCGTATGTCACTTTGTAGGATAGGAAAACCATTAAAAACTGCAGTTTCGTTCGGTTTTGATCCGTTTTCGATTCGATTTAAACAAAAGGGTTTAGCCGGATACGTATGACGAGTCGGCCCCCAAATGGGAATCGATATTGAAACTTATGTTTTAATATAGACTTGATGTTCAAACACGATTTATGTACTTTTCGCGACCGACTTCCGCTTTGACCTTGAGATAGAGAGCAAAATATCCGTATGCTTGACTATTACTGAATGTGATATATCTCTGAAGCTAATTAAGATAAAGAAGTGAAACTAACGCGAGGTGTTAGGTTACATTACAGAGTATATCACATATATTTTTTTATAATTTTTAGAATAAAAAATTCATTAAAAAAATAAAAATAAAAAAAAAATCATGTTTTTTTTCTGAGTTCTCTGTGACTTACAATCACGAAATTAATATATGTTATGCTCCTTTGTGTGCTCTATTACCCATAAAAATTGCGTGAAAAAAAAGTTGGTGCAACACAACGAAAAAAAATTATATGTGATTTCTGTCTTATGGTATACCCCTGTATTATAAGGTTTTCACATTACATCATTGTTTTTTTTTTCGAAATTTCACATCAGCTTGTTTTAAAACATAAGTAACTAGTCTTAAGAGATGGGATAATAGTTAAAAAAGAAATGAAAAAAAAAACAGTCAGTGTTCAATACTTATTATTATTACTTTTTCGTGTCTATCAAAATACAAGAAACAAAATATTAATCATCGTCACTGTTGTAATTAATTACAATCGGAACACTTTGAGTCGCAAATAACTTAGTTAGGACCTCATCAGGACGTACGATTTTGGACAAATATCGTCCATATGATAGATAATAAATAATAGCTGCTACATGAGAACAGCATCCCACTGTACGTTCGCCATTGGGGCAATCACAGCAATAACGAAGAACTATTGTAGTTATTACCTTCGGAAATATAGTGAATGTAAATTCGATAGACTTTTCTATTTATATGTCTTGATTTTACTTCTGCTTTGATGATATTAGGTGCTGATTTCACATATTGTACTGAGAGATTATTTTGATCGTCCATTATTTCGGCCAAGTTAAATGCTGCACATTTAGAAGTAGAAGCTTTTTTGTTAATATATGGGATACGTCGACACTTCTTACAAAAAATATCATTAACTATTACGATTTTATTCAACCAGTCACTAAACACTTTAGCTTCTTCTTCATTCTTTATAATTTTTTTATAACCAGGAATCTTACACAGGTACTTGTTACAATTTTTACACTTTCTCGACATTATTACTTAATAATGATTTGGTTCGATAGTTAATAATTTCAAAATGCTGATACAAAATACCTATGACAGAATTTGAGTCCCAAACTGCCTTCTTGTGTAATACAAATGACTGCTACTTTAGCTAAACAAACGATGCAGTAAACAGCTCGATAACAAGTTCGAACTTGTTTGTTTATACACTCACACTACAAGGCGCGAATCACATATAATTTTTTTTCATTGTGTTGCACCAACTTTTTTTTCACGCAATTTTTATGGGTAATAGAGCACACAAAGGAGCATAACATATATTAATTTCGTGATTGTAAGTCACAGAGAACTCAGAAAAAAAACATGATTTTTTTTTTATTTTTATTTTTTTAATGAATTTTTTATTCTAAAAATTATAAAAAAATATATGTGATATACTCTGTAATGTAACCTAACACCTCGCGTTAGTTTCACTTCTTTATCTTAATTAGCTTCAGAGATATATCACATTCAGTAATAGTCAAGCATACGGATATTTTGCTCTCTATCTCAAGGTCAAAGCGGAAGTCGGTCGCGAAAAGTACATAAATCGTGTTTGAACATCAAGTCTATATTAAAACATAAGTTTCAATATCGATTCCCATTTGGGGGCCGACTCGTCATACGTATCCGGCTAAACCCTTTATTTAGTAGAATTGGCTCCCAGTAATTATTTGTTAACGGACTTATTTTTGAATTACGTCATCAAAATGGTGGCTATATCGTCGGTCCAGTGGTAAACTATTCAATCTGCAATTTTGACAATTTTGAGTTAAATATGGCAAAACTATTTTTTTTAATATTATCTAAAATGTGGCAAAATCCTACAACTGTAAGTTTAATAGTGCGTAAATGTTGTTCAAAAGTGCTTATCTGCCAAATCTAAAATTAGTGCAAAAGTAAACTAATCAATGTGAAAAAATGTTCAGTTTACCAAAACCAAAAGCTGTTACTTATAAAAATATCACCATGTCAACTTGTTTAAACGGCAGATTGATTAGTTTACCTTCATGCAAAGAATCACTCAGGCTAGTTTTCAATCAAAATTGTACGTCGTACACAATACGCCACCGTAGTCGTATCACATATCTACCACTTTGGCTACTTGAACACAATGAAATTATTTCACTGTCTCATTCTGACCACGGTAAACTAGTTAATCTGCTTTAATTACGTAAATAACGTAAAAATTATAATTTCATATATGTCTACCTAAAGTACAATTTCTTTTACTCACAAATTTAAAAAAATGTAAAGATAGCTGTAAAACCTGATTTACAGTATCAATTTTTGTCTTTTTGCTCTCCTGAAAAATTTTTTCTTTACATTGCATAGTTTACCACTGGACCGACGATATTACGCGTCCATAATGTAGGTAGTTTCCTTTGACTATATACGGTTTTATAATCAAAGGTATTGGCGCAAGAATTAACGAAATAAATCCAGTAACTTATTAGCCTATGTTCAGCAGTGGACGTCTTCCGGCTGATGATGATGATGATGATGATGATGATTAGTCTTATTCGTTCCCAAAAAATAAAAAAATCAATACTTCCTCTTCATAATATCAATAAAGATCAAAAGATTTATTTTACCTTTTTGGTGTCGTGTACGGCTCTAAACTGACAGGTGGTTCAATGCCACCATTACCATCCTTGGTTGACTCTGAAAAGTAAAGTTGATCGCATTTACGTCTTTTCTTATTTCAACTAGGTATTACTAACTACATTTTTGTGTTTTACTTAATTTAAACTTATTACGAATGATTGCAGTAGTTGTACCGTTATAATTCGCAAGTATTGTGAGTATCATTTTTTTAAAGCTTTTGCTCAATACACAGTAAATTTTTACCTACATCCAAAAATTTTTAAGAGGTGTAAGAAAACATATTATCTATCACTATCTATAAAACAAAGTCGCTTTCTCTGTCCCTATATCCATATAATAGCTTAAATCTTTAAATTTGAAGGGTACATTCGTCTTATAACGTAGAGGTGTACTAAGAACGGATTTTTGAAAATTCGGTCCAAACCAAAGGCGGTCAAAAAGGGTGAATACGTTTGTAAACTTCTTTGTTATTGGACCTTTATCGGTGAAAATTGGTATTTGGGTAGTTTAAGACACTAAGAAGGTAATGGGTTATATTTTATCCTAAAAACTAGCACTTATAGGGATGAAAATGGGAGTGAAAGATTTTATGGGGAATCAAAATGTTACCATAACAACCATTGTTTAAAATTTGATATGTCATTGTACCAAATCTATCTAATCATTTATAAAGATTTCCTTACAATCTGATAAAAATTTTAGTACATAAGATTTGAGTACATAAATGATACCAAAAATAATATTTGAAATAAATATTTTTGTAAATATTCAAGTACAAATCATTTTAATACGGAAGAAAACACAAACTACGAGATACAAGGTGTAATATTATTTTATACTAGAACTTCATAGGGTGGATTAGTTAAGTATACTAAACTATGGGAGCAAAATGAATTCACAAAAAAATAATCAACTGTTTCATACTGTCAACGATTATATGTATAACGATTTTGTATGAAACAACTGATTATTTTTTCGTGAAGTCAGTGTTGCTCACATAGTAAAAGTTGTTGAGTATACTTAACTAATCCACCCCCCGAAGTCATAATATTACACCTTATATTTTATACTGATGGCGTTAAGTACTACATGAGCACAGTTTTGATCAAGGTTGAGATTGAAAATAAAATATAATAGATCTTTCTAAACCCTAAAATGTAAAATGAGTTCGATGGCACAGTGGTTAGCGCACTCGGTCTGCGATATGTATGTTAAGCAATTTTAGCAAGAGCCAGTTATAGCATGGCCGACCAAAAATGTATTATGTCGAGCTTCGGAAGGCACGTTAAGGCATTAGTCCCGGCTGCATCTGTATAATTAGCGCGTCTTCGTGGATTGTCGTTAACACCCACCAATCCGCACTGGACTGCGTTATGGTTTGGCTCAATGATTTTGCGTAGATTAAAGTTTTCGCTTTAGTTTTGTGTAAATTTCAGATTTGTGTTTTTCTTTCCATTTGTATTTCGAATTCAATAAATTGCTTTCATTAAAGTTTTCAGAGATAAAGTGCTGAAACATATTAGACATAAGTTTCGCATGCTTTAATGTTCTATTATTTTCAGTTCCTATTTTAATTTATATGATACTATTTTGTATATGAAATTGCTTAACGTAATTTTGAACAGTGTTTTGTATACCAGTGACAGCTATAATGTAAGCCCTGTAAAAATATTCTCATACGTATTTGTAAAAAAATATATACAACTTGTATAGCTGTTATAGCAATTGTTATACATTTAATTATATTTTAAATAAATAAATAATAATGTTTGTTGTAGTATAGTGGATATTTTTCTATTAATAAAATTAATATTTGTGTATTGCATCGTGATCCTTTACAATTAATCAGTTCCCTAGACTTTTTAACGTACAGCCGTACTTGTAGAAGGACGTTGTGATGGTTACTCAGCGAATCTATGTTTAGCCGTGAAAATCTATGCCGTTATGCTATAATAAAGCTAGCCGCCTAATTGGACGGACGTTACAAAATTACCAGTAAGTTGTTCCTACTTGGCTACGACATATACGTTTTATAACGTACGTTTACGTTTTCCAAAAAGACCAGCGGTTGATGCTGTGCGTTATTTGTCAGTCAGTATGTCATGATATTTCCTTTTCTATATGTATAGATTGAACTTTTTTATATCTTGTCATTATTTTATCTTTCAATAAATCTAACGTCATACTGTTAATTTCAAGGTTAAGGAAAACGGTTTACCTTCAGGATAACTAAATGTAGAAGTATCCGAGACGCAATTAGGGTTAGGGTATGTACGAATTAAATCCACTATCACTCTGGCAAAGGCTTTCACTTTCTCTCCTTTAGCTATTGCAGCTGATGTGATGGGTTGTGGAGGTGACGTTCCATCGTTGGAAGACTGTAGATTTAAAATAATGCATTACGAGATTTTGTTCAACTAATTAAATATTAAATTTGGGTTTTCACACTTATATTTCATGTGATCCTTAACAAATCTCATTTATTTTAGAAGTTCAAATACAAACCTCTAAATTTGAACACAAATAAATAGATTTCTTATGAAATAAATTTCACTTTGCGAGTCCCTTAGTATCAAATATTTTGTTTCGCGTCTATAGTTTGTCGTAAAATACTCGTATACATACCTCGAAATCTTTGCCGCTGTCAGTACCAGCATCTAAAGGATACAAATTCAACTTTACTGTCTTCGCCCATTGACCTGTTTTAAATTCGCATAGTTCCAAATTAGCCATTCCGAGGAACCAATCCGGAGAAGGCATGATGCCCGTCACTAGAGATACCAGATGATTTTCCTTGTTTGCTCGAAAGCTAGTTAAGGTTGTCAAATTAGTCTTAGCGGGTGCAGTAGCCTTTATCACAGTGCGGACACCGTGCCCCAACTAATAATACAAGAAAAATCAGAATATTTAATAATATTCTCATGGAAAATAATATAATATATATATAAAGCTTTTATGATGCGGAGTTTCAAATATTACGATTTTGATCTAAAGAAAGCCATAGTATTTTTTTTTTTTTCAAAAAAGCAATAAAATGTCGTCTTGGACATCTTTTACTTTTCAAATTATATTTTTAATTTGGTTCTCGTCTCTGTACTTCTAAACTCATAAATGACAAACTTTTAATATTACTCTTTAAAGAAATATGCTAAACATACCTCGGCTTGGATTTCCATTTCAAGTTGCGTAGTGTTTCCCTGCTCAGCCAACATTTTGATGCCTGCACTTGCTTCTGTATTGTATTTGTAAACACTAAAGTATTTACTATGGGACGCTCCGACGACTTCACTGAAGCGAGCCAGTTCTTGCGATTGCGGGAATGCCTTAGGATGTGTGTTGTATGACCACAAACCTTCAAAGGTCAACTGTCAACAGAGTTCCGTTAATTACATTAAGTAATTTCTATTTAGTTTTATTCATGTTGATACACTTTAATTCAATTCATACGTTATAATTCATCTCAGAAAATATATGGAATAGAGATGTTCGAAAAAAAATTGATAATATAGATATTTATCAATCAGTTGTATGAAGTTCCACCAGGGAGCTTTCTGGGGCCGACACTATACATGAAAAGATAAATTATGTTAATACTCGTACAGATTAATACAGACAACTTTTAGATAAAATTACTTGATATCGGGCCTCCTCACAAACTTGACAGTCATCATTTTGAGTTGGTAGTATATCGTCAGCGTTCCTGATGTCCTCACACACTCGCTTCGATAGGGGTCCTTCGTAATTATACCAAACATCAGGCTTGATAGCAACTATTGCGTAAACGGTCACACAATGACTACCTTTTTCAGGAGCAATCCACAGAGCCTAAAATGTATAAATGCGAAACAAGTATGTAAAATGGCAAAAGACTATTATATTTCTAAATCTAAAATATATATATGTAGTATAATAATAATGTAATAATTTAAATGGAATCAGTGGCGTAGCTACCAAGAGGCTAGGCGGGGCACTGCCCCGGGGCCCTCAAGCTCAGGGGGCCCTTGAATCTTTATCAGAAAATCTCAATCGAACTCAACTTTTGAAAATTTCTCCCATTTTCAAAATAAATATGACAGGTGACAACTCGAGTTTAATCATGGCAACTCAGTTGTGAGAAATTCCTAAGTTATAAAAAGGGAATTCCCCTAAATTATTTGCGTGGGTTAACAGTGTTATTAATGTTTTCATCAATTTGTCGGATATCAATATCTTCATATAAATATTTATCGATATGCGTATTTTGTGATTCGCGATTGTGAACTTCGAGTCAAGATTTTTTTCGAGAATGGTTAAAAAGTTAATGTATCAGGAGTAAGTAAGCGTATGTCAATAAATTTTTTGTACTGGTCCATACAAAAGTTCAATTTTATTTGATTATAGTACGTATACATAGTTACGTAAAGAAATCTATAGATTTCGGCTACTCACTATATAACTCAAAATACCGTGAAAAATACAAGTCACATGCGGTAGGGGGCCGTCCATTAATTGTTGTTGTCATTTTTTAAACCGTCAAATGTGGTAACACTGGCGGCGATAGAATGTTTGCCGGGGATTCCCCAACGACGTCTTTTATCGTATCATTACGTTTCGCTTTCCTTTTACTAGTAACATTGTCAATGAACAGTGTGTACGTACTTGAGTATAATCTTACATAAATATTGCATAAATAAATTAGAAAACTAATATAATGGACAAAAAATAAAAAACCCAGTGGTGCATTTAAACGCAAGCAACGCCAAGAAAGAGAAGAGAGTAAACAAAAATTGACAAGTTTTTTTGTCAGCCTTCTGCAAGTACTTCTGGACAAAATATTTCTATTGAAAATGTTTGTAAATAGGCGTGGCATCTTGCATGGCGATAGGTTAAATAACAGTTAGCTGGTGCAACGTATCTATGAATAAATAAATATGTAATAAACCCTTGAATCTTTTCTATTACGTTTTATTGCCCAATACCTATACCAAGTATAAAAATAATTGTAATTTATGTTGTTAGTGTTTAATAGTTTTATTACCTGCCCATGCACGAAAAAGAGCTGATGTTAAAGTTGCTTAGCATTTTTAAAGTATTTGTATATTTAATGATTTTACTCCAAAAAACCTTACCAGTTTTGATAGCAGTGGGCCCCATTTTTTTTATTTTCCCCAGGGCCTTAGGTTACCTAGCTACGCCACTGAATGGAATGCAAAAAAACACAACATCATATATCGTAATCATATCGTAAGACAAAGCGAAACCAAAACAATATAAACATATATTATAAAAATGGCGTAAATATTAGGTCTTTACATATGAAATTGGTGTTTGGTATGGAAGTAAAGGTGAAAAAGTCGAATATTTTTTAATATAACATATTTATTTAATCAAACTATAAACCATTGTCATCTATGTACTTTTGCCATCTCATAGGTAGTTCATTGATCCCCTTATAAAAAAACCATTTGGACGGTTATCAATAAAATCTTTGAAGGCGATTTGCACTGCCCCATCGGAGTTGAATTTTTTCCCTTGCAAGAAGTTATTCAAATTTCGAAAAAAATGGTAACAGTTTTAGCAAGCTCCGTGGAGTACGGTGGATGTCTTAGACATTCCAATTGAAGCTCTTCTAATTTGATAGCCGTCTGTTCTGCAGTGTGTGGTCTAGCGTTGTCATGAAGTAGCAGTTGCGTAGAGCGATTGACCAGCCTCTGTTGTTTAACAGCTGGTTTTTCCAGCATGGTTTGCAATTGCTGACAATAAACGTCTGCCGTAATCGTCGACTAATAAACTTCCTGCTATAATCTTCAAGGTATGTGCTAAGCAGCTCAGCCTGCCTTTGTCTCTCATTTTCAATTTATCTTTACGCCTTGGTACATTTCCCTGTGTTTGGAAAACTGCCCATATAATACCTATCCATAAGAGTGGCGATCTTAGTGATTGCAAAAACTATAGACCAATAAGTATCTTGTCATGTCCAGCGAAGATATTTGAGTCAATCATCTATGACTTTGTATACCACCACCTCAAACCCTATTTATCGCCTAAACAGCATGGCTTCACAAAAGGTAGATCCACGGTTAGTAACCTTCTTGAGTACAGTCATTGTTTGTTTCAAGCATTTAACAATGGCGGTCAAATAGATGCTGTATACACAGATTTTAAAAAGGCATTTGACAAGGTTAATCACTATTTACTTTACCGAAAAATTTGTGAATTTGGTATTCATGGGTCACTCTTCCGCTGGATTCAATCGTATCTCTCTAACAGACACCAACTGGTCGCCATCAAAGGTTTTTTGTCGGATCTTGTAGAGATTAAGTCTGGCGTTCCCCAGGGCTCCCATCTAGGCCCATTATTCTTCCTGATCTTTATTAATGATCTCGCTGAAAAACTATCTTGCCCGGGCTTACTGTACGCTGATGACCTCAAGGTTTTTCAACAGATTAGTTCTATTGATGACTGTATAAAACTACAGAAAGATATTGACAAAATATCACAATGGTGTGCTCTAAATAGTATGTTTTTAAATATCAACAAATGCACTGTCATATCTTTCACAAACAAGCGTAACAAATATATCTACGATTATCAACTAGAAGCTACAGTCCTTAGACGCAGCGAAGCGGTTAGGGATCTTGGGGTAATTTTTGATGGAAAATTTTGATGAAACTTACATTCAGGGCCCATTATGATTGCTTATCTACCAGTGCAATGCGAACATTAGGTTTTATCTATAGAATTACTAAAGACTTTTATAAGGCAAAAAGCTTAATTCTATTATACTATTCCCTAGTCAGAAGTAAAATCGAATACTGCTCGACGATTTGGAATCCTTTCTACAATAATCACTCTATGGCAATTGAGAGAATCTAAAGGAAATTCACAAAACTATTGAGTATAAAGTTCGGTACCAGCCGTAGTTTGATGTCATATGAGGACCACCACCACCAGCCCTTTTACGTCCCCACTGCAGGGGCTCAGGCCTTCCTTTTGGATGGTTAAGGAGGATGGGCCATGACCCTCCACGCTGGCCCAATGCGGATTGGAAGGTATTGACGACTGCAAATGCAGCCGGGACCAACGGCTTAACGTGCCTTCCGAAGCACGGAGTAGCTCGAGATAATAATTTTTTGGTCACCCATCCCGTGACCGATCCTTGCGAAAGTTGCTTAACGACTACGATCGCGGGCCGCGGCGCTTATCCACTACGCCACCGAGCTACTCATATGAGGACAGATTGAGTAAATTCAATATTACATCTCTTAACGCACGTCGTTATCAACATGATTTAATAACACTTCATAAATTAGTTCATTCCGTAATTGACTCAGAATATCTTCTTTCATCTATTAACATTAATTTCAAATATAATCCAAGGTACAGGCATCCAACTTTTATCATACCGACATATAGAAATAACATATTATAATCCCATCGCTCGTATGTGTAGATATTATAATGAGATCCTCCCAGTTAATCAGGCATTAGACATATTTAATGCCAATCTCTTTAAATTCAAAAAATGTATTAGGGAAGTTGTGGTAGACCTAAATGTCGCATCTTTTTAATCATCCAGATTGATTTATACTCATTCTTTCTGTTTTCTTTTATATAAGTAAAAAATAATAATAATAGTTTCTTTTTTTCTTTATCATATCTCATTGTGTAAACACCTTTAGGATATTAATTTAGTACTACACGGTTGTTACTTATTTTTCATATATATTTTGATTAATGTCTGTTGTGTTACCTAATAAATAAATAAATAAAAATCGTCTGGCCAGATTTGAGAAAACTGTAATGTACGACACCGGCACTAGTCCACCAAACGTTTACAAGTAACTTTATTGGGGTCAATTTTCCCTTGGTGCAGGATTATGGCTGGCATGCCAGGGTCCAAACATTGCGATGAGCGCTTCCGATTATCGTAGAGAATTCACTTTTCATCACAGGTAATGATTCGATTTAAAAACCTTTCATTATTGTGTCGGTTAAGTAATGTAATGCAGCAGTCGAAGCGCGTTTGCCGGTATGATTTACTCAATTCGTGAGGTACCCACCTTTCAAGCTTTTTAATCCTTCCAATTTGCTCCAAATGAATTAAAACAGTTTTATCACTAACACTGCAGCCTGCAGGTAACTCGGAAATGGTTTACGATGGATCCGCTTCCACAATAGTCTTCATTTCTTCATTATTAACTTGGGTCTCCGGCCGTAAACGGGGCTTATCTGCAGGTTGAAATCTCCAGAACGAAAACATTGGAACCAAAAACGCACTGTGTTTGCTTTTGCGACACAACCGCCATACGCATCATTAACCCTTCAAGCCGTTTCCGCAGCACTGGTGCCACGGTGGAACTCGTACCTACTCGTAAATAACACGATATTTCAAGTTTTTCATTTATTATACTGGGTGACGTAAATAGGCCAAACAGAAAAAAAAAAACAAATGAATGCCGCCTAACGAAACACAAATACATGTGTAAATTGTTGTATAAATTTGAATTTGGAATTCCCAACCAAGGAGCAGAAATTTGTGATTAAAGTGGCCAGTACGACAAAACGCTAATTTCATATGTAGGGACCTAATACATATACTGAGCTTGTGGGAAACAGTTGATATCTAATACCTGTCATTATAAGAGTTCGTTACTATCAAATATGTATTTATTCTAATAAATGATAAAATGAATACCTCGGCGGATGTTTTAGGAGTAATATCGGAATGTATAACTGTATTGTTACAATATGGACGAGTCTTTCCTTCATGCGAGTCTGGTGACGGCTGTAGTCTCCCAGGCTTCAAACGTTTTGGTTTACGAGGGTTCTTCTCATTGTATGCTTCGTCTTCTCGAAGACCTATTGTGTATCCAATAAATGTTGACTTACCGTCTTTAGAGAGTAAACGCACTGAAATAAAATTATTTATATTTTAATTAACTATAACCATTATTCTTGTTGTGATATCTACTGTAGGTTAATATTTACCAGTATATTGGACTCCCGGTATATACCGTTCTGTGATTCCATCGATATCTATATAAAATCTATTATCAGGTGGTAAAGGCGCGGTTTGAGTATCGAAAGGACGCCGGTCACATGTTTCACGATCACATACACAAACTTGCACTAGAAACACTAACAAAATCTGTTAAAACATAGTTTCGAACTTTAACAATAAGTATACTTACATTTAGATTAAATAGAAATTTAAAGTTAATAAAAGTACAAGCTAGCATACCAGACTAAAGCTTACCTATTACTAATGGACTTCGTAACAACTTATTGATATGTCGACCCATGATTTCCAAATTATTACACGTCAGTAACTTTTGATAATTCCTCTCCTTAAGTTTTTCAAACAGTCACTGTAAAATGTTATAGTAAATTATTACTATAGTAAAGTGATACTCAGTTGGCCGCTACTGTATAACTGTTTCGTTAATTAGTGAGAAAATTTTAATTGTATGACTCTTTCAATTTATTTGTATCCCTACGAGCGGCCATTGCATATAATGAACTTATGTAGCACATATGTTATCACATACATGTGAATGAAGTGGTTTTACATATTCTGAATAAAGTAAGTACCATTACATAAGTTAACGACTAGTTACCTAAGTCTTATTAGAAGGGCTATCTTTCTAAACTTTATTGAATCTCAAGATTTATGTCATTCTCTTATACTACTACTAGCTATCCGCCAGCGGCTTCGCCCGCGTGGCCTTGTAATATACATAAAAAGCTTCCTTTTGAATCACCCTATCTATGAAAAAACGTAGTTTTAAAGATTTATGTAACATTCAAAGGGACAAAGAAAGCAACTTTGCTTTATACTATGTAGTGATGAGCTCGTGAGACATTTATATGCTAAGCAAATATTGTTTATCTACTCATTTCAAAAGGTATAAAATGTTTTAGATTATTCAATTTTATATTATTATTATTTTACTATCAATGAACTTAAGTAGTTAAATATGTAATAATTTATAACTTTATTTTTTTATGGGAAAAACCTTTGAAAATGCTGATCTGATAATGATAATTCTTTCAGCTATGGGTACTACATAACATGTGGTAACATAGACTATTATGTAATGAAATGTAGGTACACTATTGTACACAGGCAAATTATGGCAAAAGAGATAGTAGGCGCAATATTGTAATTTGATTTTATACAATCAATCAATAAAATTTCTCCAGATTCATTTACGTTTCAATGTTCAGAGGATTGAATAGAAATTGGGAAGATATCAATACTTTGTGTATTGCGGAAACGTTGTATTTTTAAAGTTGCGCGTTAAAGTTAATAATTTTCATATCTTTCCTTGATATTAGACTGACAAAACTAATGCCTTTCCGTGAGAAAATCACTTATGGTTATCGTATGACGTTGTCAATAAAATAAGAATCAATTTTTATTATCAAGTTCGCAGTTTATTTATCTTACAAGAATTCAAATACAAATTGTCATTATTATACACAAACCTTCAGGGATTAAATATATTCTATCTTCATGGAGGTAAATTAGATAACTCGGCTAGCTCTGCATTTGAGAACATCTATAAATGAACAATATTTACTATTTTATTAGTATTTGCATCTCAATAATCATTTATGACCCTCATCTTAATAAGGATAAGCGCCGTAAGAATAAAGTTTGCCCTGTTCAATCTTGTAACTCAAGCCATGCACAACAGTTTTTTACATTTCTCGGTCCATTCATTTACAATACATCACCAGCCCTTTTACGTCCCCACTGCAGGGGCTCAGGCCTTCCTTATGGATGGTTAAGGAGGATGGGCCATGACCCTCCACGCTGGCCCAATGCGGATTGGAGGGTATTAACGACTGCAAATGCAGCCGGGACCAACGGCTTTACGTGCCTTCCGAAGCACGGAGTAGCTCGAGATAATAATTTTTTGGTCACCCATCCCGTGACCGACCCTTGCGAAAGTTGCTTAACGACTACGATCGCGGGCCGCGGCGCTTATCCACTACGCCACCGAGCTACCTCTTTTTATTTTTATATTATATATTTACAATAAATTAAATAAAACCTTAAATATACATCCCATGCATAGAATCAATTCTAAAAAAACGGTATCCAAGTGGCTGAAAACATTGAATTATGATGACACTGAAGATTTTATTCTTCCATCATTATAAGGATTTCTAATTGTCCAATTCTTTATTATTCTTTAGGAGTTACTGAAACTGCGTCAATTTTGTGTGAATTATATTATAATAATGTAGTCTAAGCCTTGATAGGTACTATTAAAGTAGTAGTATTAATATCCGCGGGAAGGAGCGCTGGTGACCTGTGTAACGGGTCTTGTAAAAAAGACCTATTTCAGACACCAGCTCTTCACAATACGGATATATACATAAAATTTATAATTTCTTTATTGTTCTAAGAAAACTATTGTGAAGAGTAAATAAATAAAAAAAAAATAACATTTGTTACAATTTCATTTCATTAATAATCACGTTTGCATCTAATAATGATAATATTGTTTTTTATTTTTTAACTCTTGAATGTGGAACAATATAGACTGTTTTATTTTAAAGTATAATATAACAAATTAAACATTTGATCTGATTTTGTCAGATTTGGCTAGAGCTCTCTTCTTAGACCAAGTATGGCCAGGTATAACCGGCGCCATGATTCTTTGTTCAGCTGAAATTACAAAAGAATTTTAATAACATAATCAACAATATAAAGGTTCTTTTCAATAATTTGACAACAAAACGCCACCTGTGAGTTCCTCTCCCTCCTCTTTAATTTCAGAACAGTCTTCTTCACATGGAGCGTCTTCGAAATGTTCGTAAGTGTCTTCACAATATTTAGATACTTCCTTATTAGGTAAATGTTTCATCTGAGAATTATTTTAAATGTAATTAAATATTAATTACATAAAATAAGTAATATCTATGTAAGGGATTCGTCTCCTTTTGACTTACGTTAGGATCATATTTTCCGATCGGGATCCCATCCACTAAATGGTACCTTTCCCTCCATTTCATACTAGTGATTTTTCCGTCTACACAATTTCCTTCACAACTACTCCACTCTTGCCATGGTGTCATTGGACAATCTTCTGTAGATTCCGGATCTGGTTCTAACGAACTATAATAATAAGCACAAATAAATATGAATGGCGTTTGAATATAATCTAATTATCTAGGAATTTGTAAATAGGTAGAGGCGATGACGTCGTTTATGAGAAGGACACTTACTGTTCAAATGAATATAGAATATATGTCGTGGGCCGATCGTTGAATTGGACCGATCGAAATCTGTCCGGGCAAATCACGATATGCCGCCATTTCTTGATTTGGCCAGCAAAATGATGATGCCAGCCTGTTTAAAAATTTGGCAGGTCGACCAGAGCAACGTGTTTGTCGATTTGCCCAACTTATCACTTGGACACATCGTGATATGGCTAGGGATATCACGCTGCAGCATCATTGGTGGTGCAGTAGCGCTATCTGCTGTATATTTACGTGTGAGAAAGATGACAGTGCTTTCCAAGTGAATTATGAGCGTCAACTACAGGAGTTTTTATATTGAAACGCTGAACATTTTAGTAAACATAATAAAACCCGGGCTGTCCCATCTCTGCTAAAATATTACTTTGGTCACCCTATAAAATCAATTGGCCTGAGTAGAAATCAGGCAAATCGTCAAACGTTAAGCATCGAGAGATATGGCGGATGATAGATTCGTGATGTGCCTGGGCAGATCTTGTTCGGCCCAATTCAACGATCAGTCCACGACATGTATAAAGTAAAATAAGCGATAGATGAAATGATGCACCTATTTTAACTATTTTTAGTGAATGCCTCACCCCCCGTTGTCGCTGCTACCTAACTCTGGGTTTTGATACCTGGATGGTTCTATGGGTTCTCCTGCTTCCTCGGAACCTTCTTCTTTATTTGTATTTTCAGTCGTTTCTTCCACTTCACTTTCTGGAATGAGGCATACAAGAAATGTTGAATACCTATTCCATTAATTATGTAGAGATTTATTTTGTCTTATCCTACCAGTGGTTTCTTCACATTCCCTTTGATAAGTTCTTATTAATTTCAAACTTAATCGTCCAAATGGATGTAAATCTTTCATGTCCGTTTCGAAGAATGGAGAGTTTTTGTCATACGAACTCGTTTGTACTCGACTTACAGTATCCTGTGGAAATGTTTGAATTTTCGGCGACTGCAAGAAAAAAACATAGCATTAACCAGTGTTAATAATTTCAGTGTATCAGTATACACTGAAATTATTTGTACCAGTATACACTGAAATTATTTGAGAATAAATTTAAAATAGCATAATGGTACCTCGTAAGAAACACCACTATCAGTGCCTGCATCCCATGGAAATAAATTTAGCTCTCGTTCCCGAAGCCAGGTGTTATCTTGTTGGCATAACTCAAATCTCGCTACCCCCAGGAACCAGTCTGGTGATGGATAGATACCAATTGCGACACTGACAAGATGATAATCTTTATTTGTACGGAAAAAAGAATATGTTGGTGTGTTCATTTTAAGATAACTATGACCTTTACCCTTAATCAGGGTTCTTACACCATCGCCTACCTGAAAGTAATATTAAAAAAAAACTCAAAATATCGATTAACAAAGAACTTTTCAATATAATTAATGTAATAAACAGTTGTCCACCTTTTCTAATATTTCTTCTTCTAGCTTACTTGAGTTGGCGTGTTCTGCTAATTGCTTTAAACCTTCAGTGGCTTCAGTGCCGGGTGTCCATAGAATAAAATCTCCAGTATGTGACGCCCCAACCATATCACTATAACGGGGAATCCAATCATTTTCAGGAAAATTATTTGGATGAGTATTACGAGACCAAATACCAGTAAAGGATATCTGCAACCAATATAATTTAAGAACTTCTATTGGATGTTTTTACAATCCTCATGATATATTTCTGAATTGATTATTACCTCATACTTAGCTTCATCGCAGATCGTACATTCGTCATTAAATTGTGGAGATACGTCGTCAGGCTGCCGCATATCTTCGCACACCTTCAGTGTTAATGGCCCACCATCTTCAAACCACACATTCTCGTTCTCTGCTACCATAGCTCTAAGTGTGACGCATCCGTTACCAGAAGATGGAGCTTGCCAATAAACCTTTTTGATGAACATTCAATGAATTCCATTATCTTTCTATCATTACCTACCTGTCTAATATAAGTATCTAAGTGCATATTTATTTATTTATTATATAAGTACATAATAACAAATTTATATCAAACAACATTGCTCAGATCCCAAGTTAAGTAGATAATCCACTTGTATTATAGAAACCTGCATTAACGAACGAAGGTATTAGTCCCGGGACTTTAGAGATTGACATCTTGAATATTAAGTACTCAGCCGCGTAAGTCGTATTTATTACCCAACTACGGTGAAGCGAAAAGGAGGGTTATTTTATTTTAGTTTTCGAACTTATTGTTTTATTTGAAAGTTTTTACGGAATTTGAAGTACTTTCAAAATGCAACCTTTGTTAGATCAACACAACATATCCTACTTACGAAAAACAGTAAAGAATAAAAACAAAATAGTTTCTTACCTCAACAGATGATTTATACGAATTCACTGACTGTTCAACAGAATAAAGGCAACGATCGCTGAACTTGGCCGTTGACTGACTCTGAGGTCTGATCTCCCCCGGATATTGAGATATCATTCTTCTAGGATTCTTGGGGTCTTGTTTCGTGTCGCCTTCCGCTGATATCATGAAGCCTATGAATCTCGATTGACCATCTGTCTCTGTTATTTGTACTGAAAAAATATATCCGTTTGGTAATAAATAAGCTATTTAGCTCTTCATTCAAAAGATTGAATCGAAGAAGGAGCTTTAAGCGATAACACCGCCAAAAATTACGAATGGCGTCATACGAAAGGCGTCATACGAAGTTTCTGCACCAGTAAAAAAGATCATAGACCCGGGCCCGAATTTAAAACAGATATACGAGTACTTTTACTTACCTGAATAAAGTTGCTCAGGCATATAAGCTTTATAATCTCCTACTATCTGTAATTTGAATCTACCGTCAGGTGGTGAAGACGTAGTTGTAGAACCATAGGGTCGCCTGTCACAACGGAAACCCATAGCAAGCTTCACTTCAAAAAGTAATAGAACTACCCAAGCGGACCTTAGGAATGCAGCCATGATATGAGTTAGATGATGATGGATTTCGATGAGCTCGTGGCTTATATAGTATCTATATGAACTACGATACTGATATGTAATAAAGACCTAAAGTTGGACTAAATTAATTGCAGTTGTTAATAAACGCAATGTAGGTTGGGAAAACAGCAGACATATAGATATACGGCATTGCATTATAGTTTCGTATTTATAACCGTTTTCAAAAAGGAAGCGATATACTAGAATTGATAACCTAATTTTTTAAATCGGTCTAAAAAGAGCTACACGATAGTATTATATGACTTAGGGCGGCCATGCCTGCTAATATGTACCCGTCTTTGTGTAATTAGCATATTATGAATAATTTACTAGTAACCTAATGTTAATATTTGTCTGTAACTCTTCCTAAAAATAAATAAAAAATACTGTATTGTATATAATGTAGGTACCTACTTATGTTTTTTTTTCACTGATTTCATAAAAATAATAACTATATTATTTTTTCATCTGTTTCGATGCCTTCCCAGATATTGTTAAAATGTATTTTCTAAGTAAAATTAATAAGAATATTGATTAACTTTTAATTGGTATACAAAAATATAACTTCCAGATAAGATGTAATTAAAAATTTTAAATATAATGATTATGTCACGGTGAAACCGTAAATTTCTTTTATTTCAAAGATAACTATAGAATATGCAAATGCAATGCAATAGCTAGCACCCATACTGATGTACCGACTGTGTAAATAATGTCCAATTTAAATTAATTGACGGTAATTTATAAGTCTATTTTGAGCAGAACATATCGCTGCCCTGGAACCTAAAGGGCGTATCCGCCACATTGACTGAATAATGTGTTTTGTACCTTTTGGTATAACAAAACAGCATCTAGGTACTCTAACAGTAATGGTTTAACACTTGTTAGATAAAAATATTTGGATGTGTGTACTAAAAAGAGCTTTCTTATCATTTCCGGTTAAAATTATTTTAGTCTTTGTCAACCCTGCTGCATCGATGTGCATTCAAAAGATATTCTAAATAATAAATTCAAGTACTACAGGTAGCAATTTATGTGAAAAGCGACGTCTAAAATGTTTTCAACAAACTCGACTCTTTTCTTAGGGAATCGCAAGTATGTTTTTGGGAGTCAGCGGAGACCTTAGTGAAACGATGTGCGCCAGCGAATTATGGAATATGCAACTGATTCAGAAAATGGTCAAATATATTAAATTACGAACACTATAAATTGTTTTAACTGTAGTTCCTCATCAGCAATTCGTTATGGATTATTCGACAAATTTCTATGTATACTCACTAGTATATTTACAATAAATATGACGTAATCAAGTTTGCCATGACAACTGCAGCAACTTGCAACAAGTTTAAATCAAACTTTCTAGTTTCAGTGTGATAAAGTTGCACTACCTTTGACATATCAAAGGTAGTGTAAGTGTACCTATAAAAATTATTAATACTACTACGGTACTATGGCGACTTCTGGCAACTTAGTCTAGCGCCACCCAGCGCAATGAAAAAACTGGTAGCACTCCTAAGTCTTGATTTATTTCTGATAAGAATTACATTTAAGCACTTACAATAATTATACTACGATGCTCACCCTAAGCTGGTCTCGATCAGAAAGAAAGACTATTCACCAGCAAAACACGAACACGCGAATTCGAATAAGAAAAAGTAATAATTTAAAATATTAACGGCCAGCACTTGACCATAAACCGTCCGAAGGGTAAACCCTACCTATAGTAATGTGCTCGGACGTTACAGTACTGACTGACTCGAATACCTAGCAGGAACTCGGGCACTCAAGTACAGGTTTCAAGGCAAATATTACTTTAAGTTTACTAAGCTTTTATTAATCTTTTGATAATTCAAAACTTCTGTTCCAAAAGCGATTGCGACTTTAAACTCAGACCACAGCACAGAGCTTAGCTTAATAGCCAAAGTAATTAACTAAAACGGTTGGTTTCAAATCCCATCTTAAGATCACATAAATTTATCATTACTACCGTATCAAAGGTAGTGCAAGTTTGTCACCCTGAAACTAGCAAGTTTGATTTAAACTTGCTGCAAATTGCCAAGTTTAAATTGCTATCTGGGGGGCAGCACGGAGGTGGTGATAGGTGACGGGCGCGGGAATTTATCTCAGACACCGTGCCCTAATCCGCCGCGCACCACTCACCGGCTGCGGGAAAACAGGGGGTTTTAGTGGGTATTCCTCCCCCAGGGAGGCGAATCCCACACTCCGTTCGTAAATGGATATCCCCCTGTATAAAAAAAGGTGTGTAGAGGGTTAGCTAAAGTAGACAAATAAGGGTAAGTACTTTATTGATTTACGAGTATGATTTCTGCCAACTCCATCTTGTAAATGAGTGCTACATTAATTGTACAAGATTTCATTGTTGGCAGTTGTTATTAAAGAAGAAAGATTCGATTGTTTATTTGTTTGCATCATTGACTTCACTTTTGTGTTCATTAAAATTTTACTAGATATGGAAATACCCATCTCTGTATGTAAGCCAATAAAATAAAGTTTAATACTCGTAATTATTATTTATTTAAACATTAAAAATCGAGTAAATCGACAAATACGTTGCTTCCGTCGATTTGCCGAACTTTTCACCGGACTGATCGTGTTTGATCTGACCCAGATAGCAATTTAAACTTGTTTCTGATTTGCAACAAGTTTGATACATCAAAAAAGAAGACTTGCTTCAAGTTTGCCATGACAACTGCAGCAACTTGCAGCAAGTTTAAATCAAACTATCTAGTTTCAGTCGGACAAACTTGCACTACCTTTGACGTATCAAAGGTAGCGCAAGTGTACATAGAAAAATTATTATTACTACTACCGTAGTTGTAATACCGGGTACTCGAGTACCTGGCATACAGTTTTCAAGGCAAATATTACTTTAAGTTGACGAAGTTTTGGTCCAAAACATTTTAACAATTATTTTCGCCAAAAATAGTAAAGATTCCTATGAAATATAATGATAGTATTTTTATAATGTAGCAAATAACGATTTAAAATAGTTTTCAGAAAAGTGTCAAATACCCTATTGGACCGATCGAGATCTGCCCGGGCATATACTGCCATCTCTCCCAAGATAGTATGCTAACTTGGGGCAAGTTTGATTTTTCTTTGATTCTAAATTGCTGAGTCAAATATACGAGGCAAGTATGTGACAATGTCGCTGCAATATTGTTATGTTAAATATGAAGTTTCAAGTTTGCGACAATATTGTTATGACAAAGATACTTATTTGTAACACACCCATCATCTTCATAGGTGCCCGAATAGTTCTAAGTCTGCAAACTAGATGGCGCTGTTCATTTAATGCATCGCGGTATCAGTTTATATTGTTAGATTGTATAAGTAATATACCGTTTCATGTCATCTTAAGGTGGGATTCGAAACCAACCGTTCCAGTTAATTATTTTGGATCTTAAACTAGGCTCTGTGCTGCGGTCTGAGTTTAAAGTCGCAATCGCTTTTGGAACAGAAGTTTTGAATGATCAAAAGAGTTTTTATTAAACTTAATAAACTTAAAGTAATATTTGCCTCGAATCGAAACCTGCACTCGAGTGCCCGAATTCCTGCTAAGTATTCGAGTCAGTTAGTACCTTAGTAGTATTAATAATTTTTCTAGGTACACTTGCACTACCTTTGATACGTCAAAGGTAGTGGAACTTTGTCACACTGAAACTAGAAAGTTTGATTTAAACTTGCTGCAAGTTGCCATGTTATCTGGGATACAACGATTTCCCAGACGCTCATACGTTTTAAGCTACCGTAGCACTATGTGATGTCACTTACTATCTTAAATATGTAGAGAGCGTTTTCGACCGATCAGCAGTTCCACAAACACAGCACTGTATCTCCGAAACTGCTAATCGCAGACATTCTATTACTTCTATATTATTTCTCATATATTAATGAACTATTTATTTATAAAATAAAATAGAAATTGTCACCTAGCATTAATAATGCTAATAATAGATAGATATAATACAATAAGCTACTGAATTTAATAACAGTAGCTTGGACAGCCTACTTCCATGATGCCATATTACGTCTACAAGTAATTGTGGCTCCTGCTTTTGAAAAAAGACGTTCGCAAGTCATACTCGTGACCACAATGGGAAAATGTCTCATTGCCACTTAAAATGAATTGGCATTGGACTGAGAATAACAAGTTATTATGAAATTCAAGCAAATCAATAATAATAAAAAGCGACTACAAAGAATCATGTCCAATTTTTATCTAAAAAATTATTAAGGCGTCTAGTGATTTGATGTATCTCAAAATATAGCTTCATCATCGTCATCATCATTTCAACCGAGAGATATAGCTTATTTTTACTTATTTCATATCAGAAAATTAATACTTAAAATAGTCAGGATAAAAATTAGGAGGTTGCCCGAATGAGTTTAGGGCCTTAATATGACGGTTTGCTACATTCATCCGTATTTACGAGTGAAACTTTAAAAAGCACGAAACAAAATTACAATTTTTACAAAATACACAAAATTATGAATTTCCATGGCCACCATGGATAAAAAGATGCTAAGATATTATTATATTATAAGCAAAAACTAATTTCAATTATCATTATGGTTGGTATACGCGACCTTTATAAAAAAACTTGATATGAACATAAATGTGTTATGACCAGAGGTCGGAATAAGGTAGAGTTATTTATGTACTTGCATCGAAATGTTGATATTAATGAGGACCTTCCCGGGATTTCTTTATTTCTTCTTTTTTTTATTGACGTGGATACGTCTATGTTTTCGTTCTACAGGGGGGTTATTCTGTGAGCAGGAGTATATGCACTAACGCCATCTATTGGCGTATAAGTGAACTATGCTTGCTCTGCAGGGGGAGGAGCATTCTGTCAGCAGAAGTATATGCACTAACGCCATCTGTTGGCGTTAGTGAATACTTTTTTCATTCAACAAATGAACGCAACGAATATTTATTTATTTAGTGTTTAGTGTCTTCAATTTGTTTATTTTTTTTTGACGTGGATACGTCTATGTTTCCGTTCTACAGGGGGGTCATTCTGTGAGCAGGAGTATATGCACTAACGCCATCTGTTGGCGCTAATGAATACTTTTTTCATTCAACAAATGAACGTAACGAATATTTATTTATTTAGTTTTTAGTGTCTTCAATTTGTTTATTTCTTTTTTTTTAATTATTCATTTATAAATGCAATTATGCCACAACGTTGCATAATTCCGGGTTGTTTTTTATCAATTACTCATATATCCATTCATACATAGACGTATCCACGCATAAAATATGGCTGTATCAATGATACAGCCAACCAGGGTTTTTATTTATTTCTTTCATTGATGTAAGTTTGGCAACGTCGTGCGTGCAGTAGTTTAAATTGTGTAAAAGTAAATAACTTTTTATTTAAAAATCACAGGATTTTTTTCTGCTCTTTAAAATTAATCTCGGGATTTGAGGCATATCCACTTAATTCTTTCGCTGTATGAAATCAGTGTAAGTACATGAATAACTCTACCTAATTCCGACCACTGGTTATGACAATAAATGTAGGGAAATTATTCTTGCAATGCATAATATTATATTGTGTATAAAATATTTCCTGTACGCGACAGGCAATACAAATTTCACTAAAGATACATCTGAAGATCAGCCGTTAAATGTTAAAATTTGCACAACTTATATACATTTTCTATTTGGATTTCATTCGATATTAGGTTTCGCTATGCAGTTTTTTATTTGGGTGTCGATAATATCGATAAATATTGATGGATCGATATATCGCTTCTTCTCTACATATAGGTACCTACTAAGTCTGTGGAAAACATATCCCTGTTCTACGCCGTTTACTTACGACCGGTTTGGTCTGTGGTCGGTTTTTGAGGTGTGGACGTGTGGATTTGTTGTTGTGGTTTACATTTTATATCAGATGTTAAATAAATGTCTATTAAGCCAATAAAAATGCCGTCGGCGACGAAAGAAAAAGATTCTACTATACTTAAGATTGCTGTTGAAATGCTCAATGCGCCTGATAAGGTGCCACAGCTTATTGAGTTTGACCAAAGTCAACCTTTATCAAGTATTATTCAGTTGCTTTGTAAGCCTTGGGGTCTTCCTGATCCAGACAACTATGCTTTACAGTTCTCCGAAAGCAATAATCAAAACTATATAACCGAGAAGAATCGAAACGAAATAAAAAATGGTTCTGTACTGCGTCTCGAACAATCTCCAGCTAAAACAGTTCAGGATATTCTTGCTAAAATTAACAAGGGAACTGAAACAGAGCAAATCGCAGCTCTTACTAAATTATCAACTCTTAGCAGCGATCTTACATTTGCTTTGGAATTTATAAACAAAAAAGGACTTTCACTCATAATAAACAATATTGACAGTGGACGATTTAAAGGGAACTCACTTAAATATGCTCTAGTAACTTTTGTTGAACTCATGGATCATGGAATTATATCTTGGGATATTTTAGAAAATCTATTTATTAATAAAATAGCAAGCTTTATCAACAATCAGGCAAGTACACAGGACCCGAAAGTGATTCAGTCTTGTTTATCTATACTTGAGAATATAGTCCTTAACAGTTCTGGCAAGAATTCACATGTGGAACAGGAAATTACAATACCAAGTTTAATTTCTCATTTACAAAATCCATACCAAGATAGTGTCATACAACAGAATGCAATTGCACTTATAAATGCTATTTTCTCAAAAGCAGATAATACTAAAAAGAAAGCCATAGGAGCAACTTTGGCATCAAAGCAAGTTCGTAATGTTATATATGAAAATCTTATCGGAGCCAGTGAGTTTTCAAAAAATACATCAAAAGATGCATTAGGCACTGAGTTAGCACATCAACTATATGTGTTACAAACACTAATGCTTGGATTACTGGAACCTAAAATGAGGCAGCGGGCTGATTCACAAGAACAGGAGTCCCAAGAAAAAATAAAAGAGCTTAGAAAAATCGCCTTTGAAAATGACAATAACTCCAATATTGAAGTTACAACCAGACGTCAATATGGTAGCTATTCCAAAGAATTCAAAAAACTTGGCTTTAAGTGTGAAATTGATCCAATAAAGGATTTTAATGAAGTCCCACCAGGAATCTTAGCATTGGATTGTATGTTATATTTTGCAAGAAATTACCCTGAAGATTATACTAAAATAGTTTTAGAGAACAGTTGTAGGGCAGATGAACATGAATGTCCATTTGGGAAGACAAGTGTCGAGTTGATAAAACAGTTATGTGACATATTACATATAGGAGAGCCTCCTAGTGAACAAGGACAAACATATCAGCCTTTGTTCTTTACACATGATCACCCATTTGAGGAGCTGTTCTGCATTTGTATAGTTCTATTAAATAAGACATGGAAAGAAATGAGAGCAACCACAGAAGATTTCATAAAAGTATCTAGTGTTGTCAGAGAACAAATAAGTAGAGCATTATCCCTAGCTCCAAAGGGTATAGACAAATTTCGCCAAAGAGTTAATCAGTTAACTTATTCTGAAATAACACAAATATGGCTACAAGAACGCAACAATAGGGAAGTCTGGGAATCACATGCTCGTCCAATAGTAGAGTTGAAAGAGAAAATAACACCAGAGATTATTGACTTAATCCAACAACAGAGGCTTGGTGTTCTGGTAGGTGGTACCAGGTTTAAAAAATATTCACCAAGGGCTCAAAGGATAAAAGACAAGTTTTGGTTTGTACGACTGTCTCCGAACCATAAAGTTTTACACTATGGAGATTGTGATGAGAAGAGTACGCCAAGCTTAGAGGAGCTTGGAAATAAACTCGCTGTTGCAGATATAAAGTGTGTGGTCGTTGGCAAAGATTGTCCACACATGAAAGATTTAAAAGGTAGAAAAATAAATCTTCATTTGGCTTTCTCTTTGATTCTGAAATCAGCTGAAGTGACATCATTAGATTTTGTGGCACCAGATGAACAGATATTTGACTATTGGACAGATGGAATAAATGCATTATTAAAAGAAAAGATGTCAAGCAAATCATTTGAAAGTGATTTAGAAACACTATTATCAATGGACATAAAAGTTCGACTGTTAGATGCTGAAGGTATTGACATACCACAGGACCCTCCTCAGATACCAGAGGAGCCTGAAGACTATGACTTTTATTATGATAATAATTGAACATTTCATTTACTTCCAGAAATTGACAGTGAAGATCTTCTCATTGCGTATATAACAAAAATTATGGGAGCATAATCAAAGATTTAAACAAAATAATATTCAGTATTTATAAGATCTCACATTTTTTTATATATCCTTCTCAAAACAAAATTGAGCCCACCAATAAAATAAAAAAAACTAAAAGACATTATTCTCGAATTAAACCTGTAAAATAAATATTGTTGAAATCTTAGATGTCTTATTAAGTGTGTACCAGTCATAAAATACAAAGAAAACCATTGGGGGCTTATCAATTTCATATTATTAATAAAGGCATATTATTTAATACAGAAACCAAAGCTTTTTAACTTAATTTAAGAAATTAAGTGATTGTTTTACTAATTTTAATAATTTACTATTGATATAAAAAAAACCTGTTATGAATTCAAAATTAATTTTAGTGTCCCGCACAAACTAAAGGGGTCACAATTTTGTTTTGAGAAGCATATCTATGTGATATTACTTTTAAAGTTTTAAATATGAATTTGAACTGAAGGTACACTAGAGGATATTCTTTAAAAATGTATATAACTAGAACTTCACTAGTAACTTTCAATATAATTATAATAAAGTCGTATATTTAGTTTGTGTATCATATTCGGCGGATGTAATTCATTATAATATATGCAACAAATTACAAATGCCATGGGTCCATATCGGGGATCCTTATTATCTTTCTATAGGGTTTCGCGCACTTCCGTTCTTTGTGACGGTTCTTGAATATATTTTATAACGGGCAGTGTAGAAAGATTAGATAATATTTTTTCATAAACATGTACTATGTAACTAGCTAATATAAGTGTAACTTCCATATTAATATTTTTAAAGATTAATTGATGAGTTTTCAATAGTCCAAAGTGATTGAGTTTTAAAAAAATTGGATTCTTTATCTGTGGTTAATTTAAGATTCACATGCATATAAATATTGTCTTCTGAATTTCTGATTACTTACTATATGTATTGATTGACTGACTTCCAACTTCCATTTTATTATAGTAATAAGTATTGTGGCCATATTCCGATATTATATTTTATATACCAAAGATCATGTTTGACGAACAAAGATTATTTAAAATTGTATATGTACAAATAAATGTTCTATCTTATGGACCCATCATTTTTATTTTAGGAACACAATATCTTACCACAAATTCAGATCCTAATCATTATAATAAGTTCATTTTCTTTATGGGCCCTTCTGGGAATCGTACTTGATATTGGGCATATCAGATATGACGACACCTTTAAATTGGTTATGCAGCGTATAAATTGAGCGATCTAACTCCAAAATTACATCCTATTAATATTATAAAGGCGAAAGTTTGTAAGTATGGATGTATGGATGTTTGTTACTCTTTCACGAAAAAACTACTGGACGGATTTGGATAAAACTTTACAGCAATATAGGTTATACATCAGAATAACACATAGGGTACTTTTTACTGGGAAAACTTCTCACTCCCACGGGATACCGACTTCCACGCGGACGAAGTCGCGGGCGTCCACTAGTTCACTAATAAAGCCAGCCCTTATGAAGCCCATGGGAACAAAAAGACTATTTACTAGCTGTTTTCCTGCGACTTCGCCGTAGTAAATTAAGGCGTATTTCACCGGTGTAAGATGTAACTTTCTGTAGTTAAAGAATCTGTATTTCAGAAGGCTGTCTCTTACAAACAGACAAAGTTAGAGACCTAACTTTTTTAATATTAATTTAAAGATGAAGATCAAACTAAAAAAGATAACAAATCACTATGTGACTGGAAGTGAATTTTATTACGTTAAAGTGCACTTAATAATAATAACTCTTTTTTACAAAAAAAAGTATAAATGAAATCACAAAATCACATTTTACATAAATACTTTATACAGATTATTATTATTACTATATTTAAGTAACTATTGCATTTTAGACACTTCGAATTTTGTATTGATTATTTCTTCGTCTGAATCTAGCAGCGGTAGTGTGCTAGTCGGTATGTTTTCTTCGACCCAGCGGAGATCAGAGTCTAATGAATTACTACTGGGGTCGGGATGGGAAGACTCTTTATTGGGTTCCGTCGTATTGTCACTGTTATTTATCCCTGAACCACGCATTTTGACGCCGTACGCGTCATTCACGAACTGTTCTTCTTCTTCTGCAAAAAGTTAAGCATTCGTTAGCAGCGATATCAAATTATGCCGCTTTAAAAGCTTTACGATAAGCGGAAAAATTTTAAAATTTAGTCTTTCTCTCGTCAAGTAAAGTCATTAGCATTACTTAAGTATATATTTTTAATAGATATATTCAATAGACGACAATTTTAATGAAGTAAGCAATTTTCGCAAAGGTCTGTCATAGAATGGGTGACCAAATATTATTATCTCAAGCTCCAAGGCACGTTAAGTTGTTGGTCTCGGCTGCATGTAAAATCTATTCTATACTATGCCCGGTACGAAAGTAAGCCCTGCGAAGTAAACGAAAATAGGTATCGGAGAAGTGAGCGAGGGGAGGAAAGAGAAAAGGTTAACCATAGCAACATGGTCTAGTGTCATCTTACAATTGATGTTTTCCTACAAATTAACTTCCCACCATTTACAAATGCACTTTTTCATTGACAGGTATACTCAAGAACTAAAGTGATTTATTACTATACCGAATTTTGTCGTTGTTAATAATGTTTTTGGCTTTGGATTTTTAAATCACACTGAAGTGGAAATAATAATACACTTCTTTCTATCTATCTACTATCAACGAACACTCCTTTTATTTCCTCCTGTTATTTTAACGTTTTAGTGTTGTAATTTATGTAAATGTTTTTAATGGGTAAATGACGCTCTAAATGGGTTGTACCTATGTCTTTTAGTTTTTGCAAATAATATTAATAAAAAAAAATTTTTTTACGTTTTCACTTTTTACCCCGATTATACCTGCGCAGTGGACGTCAATTGACTTTACTTTCGTGGCGGGCATTGTATAAAAGTAGAATATTATAATGGTTTTGGAGCTATCCTTGCAGGAACTCTTCCCCCCCCCCCCCCCCCAATTAGGTTTGTTGAATTTTACAATACCTTCATCGTCCTCGGCGTTGTCTAGCAGCGGTGTGAAGGCGTATCTCTGGTTATTATTAGTCGGTCGCCATAACACCATGATCACAGTGAGAACGCTCGCAAACAATATATGCCAGTACGCCTCGTCCATCCACACTTCCTTCCATTCCTGCATAATAACATCCTTATTACCATCACTATGATAAACTACAAAATTAAATTTTATCAATTTTACATTCGCAATGCTATACTGGAAAATATTTTTAATGAAAAATGCTTAAAAAATCCACTTTGCCCCGAGATACTGTGAGATGGGACTCGAACCAACGACCTTTCGCAATTCGGTCGACGGCTTTAACGGCAACTGAGTTACCCAGGACATAATAATTTGAACAAATTTTTATCTTAATAGAAAGTTTAAAAAATTTCTTTCGGCATCTCAGAGTATTTGATGGTGGTGGATCTTTTAAGCATTTTTCATAAAAAAAATACAAAATTAACTTTCATGTCATCATAAAGTTTTTTGCGGGTATAATTTCGGTATGATTACTAGCTGGGATCTGAGCAACATACGTAACATAGTCTAATATATAATAGCACGGTCGTCGAACAGAAAGAATTTCGTACATTGACCTTTGTGCATACTGTCAGATATTGCAAACATTTTAGGTCCACATTACTGTGACAAAATTGGCTATATGCAACTGTGCGAGCGCAATAGCACTATGTTAACGCACGAGTGAAAAAATAAAATAAAATACGATGTAGAATTTCGTAGGTGAAATAATTTTTATAATAGTTCCGTTAGTTTCAGAGGTTTTTTTTTTAATGTAAACAAACAATCACATCTCTCTTTTTTAAAATAACATTAGTATATATAGATTTATTTACTATTATAGTTTTCCCGTGACTTCGTACGCGTAAATAACTGCCTATATCAACCGCGTATGATATAGCTTCCGCAAGATGACAGAATTTTCATGATCAAACCAGTATTTCCGAAGATTAGCCTCTAAAAATAAACAAATATTAATTAAAACAGATATAAGAAAATGTATACGTATACTCACTCTGATACAATCTGATGCTCTGTATGATTTGATAGAGTATAACATAAATACCACAGATGAGATCACAGCAAATATAAGTGTGTTCGTGAAGTGTCTGTACAGTGATAGCTTTATTGTGTTTCTGTAACAAAATCACAAACGTCAGTACTCCCTGATTGTTTACAGTCCACGGGCACAAAATACCTCAGACAATGTACACACATCAATTGATTATGAATATCTGCTTTAACATTAACGTGTTAAGGTTCTAAATCTAGTGGGGAAATTTAATAGATTTTATACCCTGAAGTGTAGTTGATTGAACATATAAATGAGCGAATCAAGCGCACGCAAATGGACAGGTTTTTACACAATTTAGTCTAGATAGTCGTCAGAAATATGTGCTTTATCCTATTGATATTATAAATGTGAAAGTTTCTTTGTTTGGATGTTTGTCGGTCAATCACACCGAAACTACTGAACGGATTTTGATGAAATTTGGTATACAGACAGGGTTAATACCTAATAGTAGTCAGCTAATGCTGACTTAGATAATAGGATACTTTTTATCCCACTTAACATTTCCCTAGGGTCTACGCGGGCGAAGCCGCTGGCGAAAGCTAGTATTTTAATATGTTGAAGTACCCAGTACCAAGTGCGGAGGTTAGGTACTAGAACATCTCGGAGCAGATTTTCTAAGAGCAACAACTTCTGCGATGTACTGAATTGCCGCATTTCACGAGAGTACGGTGTGTGTATATTTTTTGTACTCTGAGATGGGAGTACCAGGGACAAAGTGTTTATTTTTTAAGCATTTTTCATTAAGAATATTTTCCAGTATAGCAAAATTGGTCAAAAATAATAATTATTAATAATAATTTACTCATTAATCTAGCTCGGTGGCGTAGTGGATAAGCGCCGCGGCCCGCGATCGTAGTCGTTAAGCAAATTTCGCAAGGGTCGGTCACGGGATGGGTGACCAAAAAATTATTATCTCGAGCTACTCCGTGCTTCGGAAGGCACGTTAAGCCGTTGGTCCCGGCTGCATTTGCAGTCGTTAATACCCTCCAATCCGCATTGGGCCAGCGTGGAGGGTCATGGCCCATCCTCCTTAACCATCCATAAGGAAGGCCTGAGCTTCTGCAGTGGGGACGTAAAAGGGCTGGTGGTGACTCATTAATTTAATTTCAGCCGCAAAAATACTCTTTTTCGGAGCTGACTTTAACAACAAGTTCTGAGACACACACACAATTATGAGTTCAGAGCAGTACCTTATTTTTTTAATACTAAGAAGAAACTTTTCACAAGTTTTTAAATACTTTGAAACTTATAATGTATGGTCCCATTCCATATATTACAACGCGCGCCGCCACCGTGTGTTCCAGCGCCTGATCTTAGCACTGGGTACTGAATGATGTATTTGTATACCGTGAGTACTTAACTTACTGAAATATTAGACTAGAAAACTTTTACACATTTATGTCACGAGCTCTCCGTCTATTATTTTATGTCGTGTCAAAACCAAAACGCGTCTATTTCGCTAGTTTGGATGTACGCTTCCTTCTGTATCTAGTTATTTTGTGCCACAGGGCCCTACGACATCAAGCATATTTGTAAATTATAATAATGTAAATGGTGTGAATGTAAAGTTTCGTCAAATTTCAAACCGATTCCTTTGAAGTCGCGAACACTTATTACCTTATGAAATTAATTCACAAAATATAATGCTGCATAGAAAAATATGCTTAACTCTTTATTGATATGGTTTATATATCTTTAAATTCTTGTCATTGTTTTTAAGAGTGAATGATCCTAGTTTTGATAGAAAACTTTTTGATTTAGTTTATCCATAAATTTATAACAGATAAAAAACTCTTTGGTTGAAAAGCTGCTATAGAACTGTTATATACATCTGTTGCTATTGGCATGGCG